CAGATCTGTAGGACGTTGGTTGACGAACATTACACCTCTGCTCCCTCTATTTACCACTGAGAACTGTACTTTACAAATGAAGCATCCTTTTTGGGAGAGAGCCTGGAAGCCGTCTCTTAATATCAGACTGTCCGATCACATCAAATGTAAGTATGAATGATTGAGAGGGTCTACTCAGCCATGCAGTTTCTTGGTATGGAACAGGGACAATCGTTGAGGAAGAGACAGAGGGCCGATATTCCATATAAAGGCCTATACGGGGAGGCTCTGCCCGAAAAGGGTGACTGTTGCAGACTTCACGCATTTAGAAAGGAGGGGGATTTTAGTTAAAGTTTATGAAAGGGTTGTGGAATCTGTCATTTAGATATTTAAAAGGGCCTTTAATGAAAATATTTCGAACAGATGGATCCTAAATTATATATTAAGGGGTGAGGGGTTGGACCTTTGGGACAAACCCACTCGTATGGAACTTTGCCCCTACCCCAGGTAAGGATAACCTCGTAATCCTTATCCTCGTAAGGTGTCTTAATGGCTACCTGTAAGCAGTGTATGTATGCATTGTATGTATGTAAATGTAGATCAATTGAGTTCAACACGGCTGTAGCATGACGTTTGAAAAGGGTCTTACTTTGCCTTTTTCGTTTTCAGCCGTTATATTTCTCCAAAGTTTCAACCATAACTTTGGTTAAACCCTTTTTTCGAAACATCAAAGCAATATTAAAGCTTCTTTCCAACAATTGAACGCACATTATTAACTGGGAAAACTATCCTTTGACCCTTTTTTTAGTTTCAAAACACCAATACAGTGGAAAGCGCGATGATGAATACAATGTTCCTTACAAGATCATCAAGCTCTTCAGGGGAGGAAAGTTCGACAAAAACTATAACAACAACAAGAAGTACTCTCGTACGCATACGTTCAGAATACCTGCAGAAACAGAACGCGTCAAACTTGTAGCGACAATCACCGGCCACGGCAGCGATAATAATGGCTGTGCAGAATTCTGCGTGACGTCGCATCACTTTATCGTCAATGGTCATTCAAATGACAGAGTGTTCAAAAACGCGGCCACGGCCATGGGGTGTGCTAACAGAGTCAGCGAAGGCGCCGTGCCGAACGAGCACGGTACGTGGCTTTACGGGCGGGACGGCTGGTGCTGCGGAATGGATGTGGTGCCATGGGTGGTAGATATCACCGATCAAGTTGAAATTGGAGGAAGAGAAAACAAAGTGAGATACGTCGGTTTGTTTAATGGTAAAAACCCTAATCCTACCAGAGATCCGGGAAGTATCGAGCTGAGGTCATATTTGGTATATTACAAATCCGTGGAAGACCAGTTCTCTGGTAATGGTCCTTGAGGACATAATTCTCATAATTCTTAACACTTGGTATGAGGAATGGTAGATATCACCGTGCCTGGGTATGGTGTATTATACATGTAGATCCACAAAGGATCGGATATATGATAGTCCTTAAGGAAACAAGTTTCGTTATTGTTCGGTTGAATAAGACCGATCGTAAAGTTTAGATTTAACTTAGCCTGCGTAGCAAGCGTTTCCGTTTGGTTTCAGAGCAAAGAAAGACCGTGGAATGGGATTCTCGGTTTTGGCCGCGCGAGAAATGAAACAAGAGCCAAAAAAAATGAAAGGGGGGGGGGGGCGGGAGAGGAAGGAAAAAAACGCTTGCAGACAAACCCCTCGATTTTGAAAACCTGCGTTCGCCAGCGAACGCGGCGTCTGATTTTTCCCCACCCCCTCCCCGCTCTTTTACTTACGCCATTTTTCGCGCGGTCTTTGACTCTCGTTCCTCGTTCTTTGCTCCGAAACCGCACGGAAACGCTTGCTACGCAGGCTAGATTTAACTACGAGATCGAGTATAGCCCTAGAAAATAGCCGACACTTGGCGACGCTACAACTGGTTTCCCCGCCAAATGACGTCTGAGAAACGAGCGTAGAAATTCCATACTCATGACGCGTCACTCCTCAGATCTGGGTAGTGCTTCTGATTGGTCATGTTGCGTGGGAAATTTATTTCAACAAATCAGAAGCACTACCCAGATCTGGGTAGTGACGCTTCATCAGTATGGAATTTCTGCGCTCGTTTCTCAGACGTCATTTGGCGGAGAAACCAGCGGCAGCGTCGCCAAATGTCGGCTGTTTTCTCAGGCTAGATCGAGTGGGAGTACAAAATCATTGGCGGAGGACCCAACCTGCAACCTCCTCTCCAGGGCTTTACATTTCAGATTTAGCTATATATTCATAGAAATCAAATCTTCGCATTACTTATATTTAAGAATGTGCTCTATTGATCGTATTCCGGAATAAGAATTCACAGAAATCTGAGACAAATCTCTTCAACCAAAAATTTTAAAATGCGACATTCATCTTTAATATTTATCTCCACCAAATAGCTAGATTTAACCATGTAATGAGAACAAAACGAGTGTTTTTAGAGTTTATTTTATGTTTTCTTATCCCGAAATACGCGTCAATCGAAAGCTCCCCGACAATTCAATTCATTTTCAAATGTTCCTAGGCGCATGAAAAAAGTGTAGAAAAACTATTTTTCCCCATGTACAGTATTCTTTGGGAAGTAAATTTACGACACTCTATTTGATGTCGTTACTACAATTTGGCTTTATATTTATTACCAGATTCCATGTAAAATAGTTTGTAACAGTTTTTTATAAACATCGTTTGGACAAAGTGTTAACAAAAACCAATTGTAACATATTTATTGGTTCGATCCTAAGATTCATATTATAAGTAGGTCAATATAATCGTTACGCTGAGTGTAAGGACTGTTGATGACGTTTAGGAAACCTGTACCACGGAATTCATCCACATCAGAGTCACCAGGGAGCTTAACGCTATGTTGACACAAAACTGGATGGCTTTTGCGCCGACAAGAACACCATACGGGCTAGGGCCTGTTCACACATAATAACGGTGATTTAGGCGCGATTTCTCTAACGGTGCGAAGCTGCGCCGCGCTGATAAGTGGAGAGTCACATATCGGATAGCTTTTCACGCTATATCGGAAAGCTTCTCGTGTTGGTACGAAACGCTATCCGTTATAGCGTGAATATACCTTAATTTGTCACAAGGACGACGGCAACGAGAACGTCAAAAGAGGAGTTGATTAAATAGGCATAAAAAGAACGTGCGTCACCCTTTTTTGTACATTTCTTTGCCGTTACTGGACAATTACGTTGAAGCTGAAGTTTCCTAATTTCACGTTTTCTGGAAGACGTAAACGTAAACAAATGAAGACAAGTTTTTAGTTCTCTTTCTGAACTTTGCCGGATATGGTTCTTAGGAATTAGAGTCCATTAGAGGTCACCTACATTTGACAATTGATCGAGACTGAATAATCGCGATTAAGTATGATCGAACGTGAAATCTTTTTTAAGTTCATAATCAACTCTGATTGTGATGTTTCGTTGAAACGTCAATCCCCGTCACTAATACAAGTGCCGCATCTTAAAGCCGTTCGCGCTATAATTCTGATCACAAAACCACGGCCATTTCTTGGGACTGCACAAATTTATTTCGTAAATACATCACCTATTCACATTGTACGAAGAACGATCCATCCTCATTTTAAATATCTTAGGCGTGGTTGCCAACTTCGTTTCCCTAAAATATTTATCGCAAGGCTATTTATTTAATTACAAATCTGTACAGTATTTTTGTATTATTGTACATTAATAAGTTGTATATCACCTGCACTGTCAATCTGCTGAAGAATGAATTCTTTACACATGACCGTAATACTTAAAGGGGAAACACCCATGCCATTCTTTTTAACTATTATTAAACAGTTTTTTAAAAATAGGATTATTAGCAAATGTAGGTATAATCGTTGTCTTTATACTGTCCATCAAGAGTATTAAAATGATTCTCTCTAAAAGTCTGTCTTGATTGTACTGTTCTTTACGGAATTACGGTAACCGCTGTGATAGTGCAAGAGTGCAGTTTTCCCAACTTTCAAAATCAGTTATTTAGTGAAGACATCTTGTAATATCAGTATGATGTTATTGTTCACGTTCCCGGGGTTCACGTATCCTTCTCGAAGACCTAACATATGGGTTGTCAGTAAAATGCAGGGTCGGGGCCTATCTTTTTTGTAAAAGAATGCTGTTTTAACCCTAACCCTAAAACAGCATTCTTTAAAAAAGATAGGTGCCAACTCCGCGTTTTACTGACAACGCAACATTTGCCCATTTCATTTGACCTACATCTCTATATACGGAAAAAGCAACTTTCTTTAACACGATTAGATAACATGTAACGAAGATATACTTTCAAAGCATTTGTAGATTTGAAGAATTGAGCCGACTATACGATTTTGTGGTTCAATTTCATCCTTGCTTTAAACTTTATTTCCCTTACTTAAAACTTCTTACCTGAAAACAAAGGAAAACAAAATTAAAAGCAAGAACAGAATTGAACCGCGACAGATAAAAACTCAAAAGTGCAATTATTTATCCATTCAAGTTCAAATCTCTTCTGACACACTTCACCTTACTAAGTATTTTCGCAGTCCTGGTGACCTCTACTACCGTAAGTTAATTTAGAATTCACACAGTGTTTTTATAAAATTCATCATAAATGTAAAAACTGCTAAGATTATTTTGAAACACTGAAAATTCATTTACAGTGGTTGAAAATTATTNCCGACTATACGATTTTGTGGTTCAATTTCATCCTTGCTTTAAACTTTATTTCCCTTACTTAAAACTTCTTACCTGAAAACAAAGGAAAACAAAATTAAAAGCAAGAACAGAATTGAACCGCGACAGATAAAAACTCAAAAGTGCAATTATTTATCCATTCAAGTTCAAATCTCTTCTGACACACTTCACCTTACTAAGTATTTTCGCAGTCCTGGTGACCTCTACTACCGTAAGTTAATTTAGAATTCACACAGTGTTTTTATAAAATTCATCATAAATGTAAAAACTGCTAAGATTATTTTGAAACACTGAAAATTCATTTACAGTGGTTGAAAATTATTGAACAATTAAATATCAATCATCTCGAATGCGGTTAATTTCTTTGTCCGTCCTCGTCGAAAATTTGAGACCATTATACTCAAGTATTTTTTCCTTGACTATTTTTACTCTTTCCTTCAGATCCAATACGTCAATAACCGTGTAAGGAATGGCGTTGTCACGTAGGATCGTTTCCATCTTGTCAGTGTAGTCCAGTAACTCGTCCATCTTCGGAACGAGGCGAATGTTGTCGGTCTGTACGCATTCTGGGAAGGGTCGCACCACGAAAACTAGCGAGTTCTTATATCTGTATGATGAAGAAACAATGGAGACATAAGCTCTTTACAACAGTAGAAGCCAGTCTAAAAACAATTAATATTTTAACCGATTAAAAAGCTGAAAGTCTTTTCGAAGTTGACCGGCTGGTGAGGAAACAGAAGCGCAGCGAAACGTCAAAGTACAATGGAACCTGGTTGATACGGACACCAAGGGGACATGCAGTGGTGTCCGTATTAAGCAGACTGTCAGAAAAAACTTAGCCTGCGAAAATAGCCGTTTCTCCTCGCTCTTCGCTGCTGAAGACGTTTCGCGGACGTTTCTCCCCGCGAAACGTCCACAGCGGCGAAGAGCGAGGAGAAACGGCTGTTTTCGCAGGCTAAAAAACCGTCACGGACGCATGTTTCATCAATTTTAAGACGAACGCAGGCGTGTTTACCAGGAAACGTTGTTTGATTTTTTAGCAGTAACTATGAAGCCCCGCGCGAGCGAATGCAACACAGTTGAGCAACAACTCCCAACACTGTTGGATGTTACATATTGCGTCCCGCTGTGCACCCTGTTGCATATTGTTGCGCAAAGTTTGAAACCGGTCAAACTTTTGAGCAAACAACTCCCAACATTTCTTTTGCTCGCTAATCGCCGAAGCGTAGCGCAACAATGTTGGATCCGTTTACACAGCTTGAGGCCACGCACGCGGCGCATTTCACATGGTCTCCTTCTAGTTTACAAAGTTTTATGGGTTGTATCCTTCCCACGACCAACTGCAGGTCCTAACAATGTTGGGAGTTGTTGCATCTGTTTGCACGTAGCTTAACAAGTTCATCCTTACCAACACATCATAGTCTCAGATTAAAACTTTCTTTCAAGTATTTTTCTTGAAATCCAACAATGAAATCCGTGACTTTACTTTGTACTGACGGTTTAAGTTTGCAACTTAGCCAGGTGGAATGAACATTAGACAGAACCTTTGAAAGGTCATTCAGTGTTTCAGTTAGGTTTTCAATGATGAGATATTCAGTCATAGACAGTGCGCGGATCAGAACCAGCGTCCGTAGAGAGAGGTTAGCGAAACATGAGAATTTGTTACTTGAGACATAGAAAAGAGTCCGTATTAACCGGTGTCCGTATAAAGCGAGTTAATTTTAGAGAAAATATATGAGGTTTCCGTCGGGAAAAACGAAACTGTTCCAATGTAGTACTTTTCCTTGAAACGTAGCTCAAAGCTCTTCCACGGCAGCCCCGACTGATGAACAATTCTTTCCTAAATAGTCAACATTGTTCCAGGCAGTCGCAATGGAACATACTTTTTTAGTTTGTCGGTGCGTTTTTTAAGCAGTCGATGTGGACTACAGCAGAGGGCCATTTCCGAAAAGCCCCAAGCCTCTGTTTCGGGGCGAGGCTAGGTGCGAAGACCGAATGATGTGAAAATGATTTGTTATTCTCACGCAAAGAAAACTCACTTTCACAAGAAGGCTTTTACGCTTAGCCTCTTTTGAAAGTGAAAATTTTACGAACTCGGAATTGGCCTATTCACACGGAAGAATGTTCAGCCTGTTCACTAACAATGTCAATGTCAATGCTACATGAGAAAATAAAAAATGCAATCCGACTTTGACAAAATGCCGAATGACATCCATGATTTCCGTCAGAACAACAGTAGCATAAGAAATGTTGACTAGACATACCTAACCTTGCTCTAATTTTTGATATATTAGAATTCTTAGTTGGCTCCGAGGCTTGGGGGAATAAAACAAAAGAAATGTGTTATTCATTGTTGAGCCTCACGATGATTTCTTTTGGTTTATTCCCGCAAGCCTCGCAGCCAAGAATGAATTTTAATATATCGAAATTGGTTTATTCAGCCAAACGCCACGCCACTCAACTTAAAACATTTAAAATTAGTAATGTAGACAACCAGTGCAAGACCATGGCAAGTCGGTTTACACTACATAACTGATCTAGACGAAGCACATCTGAGAAGTAGTCTCAATATTTTCACTATTTTGGTTTAACCAAGGAGGCTGTCGCAAGACCAGAATTCGTTTAGATCTCATGGTCAGCACTATCAGTGTTACTAAATTTAAAATGTAAAATAAACATGCCTAGTTTTACATCTAGCCGGAATAAACTGAGGAAACACGAAACTGCAACAATTTCACTTCACAACGAGAGATCTTGGTCGCTTCTTGATAAACAGTAATCGGACTTATATTTTTGGAGAGAAGGCCAGGGAATATACAACCTCTCTCAATGATGTTTTTGCTTTCTCTTAAAATCGTCGCTCACCCCGTCCGTCACTCAATTTGAGTGGCGCAAATTTTCACCGAGTTTCGCGAGGGTTTGTCAGGCATTTTTTTTAAGTATACAGTACAAAAAAGTTGTAGGTTCGAAACATAACAATTAACAGAAACATGACAATTAACAGAAACTTGCGATCACTATTACGAATGTTTTGCCAGTAACAATAGAGAGAACAGTCAAGCAAGTTTTTGTTTTGGATTTTCCGGTTCGTTTGAGTGTCCGTTTCAAAACATTGTTGTACAGATTGGAATATACAATCATACAGACACTAGCCTTGATTCACAGTGATATGTTACCGCAGGGCGCTCGTAGATGTTGCTGATAGTGGAGCAAGTTTTCTTCAACCTTAAATTCTTTTCTTAAATTTCAATCCTTGTCGCTAATTTTGACTCGGTTTTTAAGCACACTCTAAGACCGCGTTGGCACGCGTCCGGACAAATTTCGGATCCGTGCAAGTTTGGACGGGGTCTTTTAACAGGATTAAAAGACTGTGTTTTTTCTCTCTCGCCACATCTGTAAGTGGCGAATAGTTTTGGTTTGGGGGAAGTACAATTCATTTTAAGCATACTGTAGGCTATAATTAGTTTAGTTTCGCCTGAGAGAAATCAAGAAAAAAACTAAACCGACTCACCTGTTTATGCATTCTTGTGAAGACGGCAAATTTAAGAGTCTTTTCATGCTATCTTTGCCGAGGTAAACCAATGCATAAACCAAAGGATCTATTCCCCTGTCCGCTATGTACGATCTTCCAACCCTTGAATTTCGCTTTTCAGCTTCACACTGTGCTTCTAATATCTTTATTTGTAGCTCTTCGAACTTAGCAGGGTTAATCCTCGGATCAAAGTCTTCTCGTCGTAGATTTAAATCCTTGATGACTTTTCTCGCTACTTCACCCTGCTTATGAATATTCGGCAATTCCTTTCCCACTTCATCCACCAACGTAGTTTTACCGACACTATGAGCTCCACAGATAAACACACGGAGCATTTTTGCACGGAACATATATATGTTTTTTTTTTTCAAATGGTCCCTCGAACGCGTCGCTATGGCCTTCTCGAACAATATCGATCTCTAAAACGAAACAACGTATTAAAAATCTCTCGTGTGTTGCTCAGCCGTTTCTTGGATATCCACCTGACAAAGTTCGCCAAGAAAATAGTTTCCTATTCGACATAAAAAAACAAAAAATTCAAAACTCCAAAGCGAAAACTCTTTTCACATGCAAACTCCGTGAAGGATTACGTTGGGGTTTTGAGTACTGCGAACTCATTCAGCTACTTTACTGTGTTTCGAGCATTTTATACGTTTTTGTTTAAACAAAGGGAAATTTGAAGTGTGGGTGGATCTCCCCTGAAGACCTATTAGTTGTTATACTAAAATCTTAGAAGTAAGCGGAATACATTACTTTAGAGCAAAACATGTATTTACAGCCAAAGTTTTTTAAAAGAATTAACTCAAAGTATTGTAATAACACTTGCACTGAATGAGTGATGCAACATCCCCAGCCCACCCCTCCATCGGAGTTAAACCATCATGTGATTTCGGGGAAATTACCTGAGCCAAGAGACAAATTCTGAGAAGTGAAACAAGAAAACTCTCGTCCGAACCTTGTCAATCTTTTCTCGAAGAAAAAACAGCATTGCTTCACGAATAAATTTCTCTTCGGCGCTGTGCTAAAATTTCATGTGGCTTCGATTCCTCTCATCAGTTAACGAAGAACAATCAAGGAGCCATTAACTTCCGCCTTGTGAATACGACAGAAGAGCAGGAACTATTGATGTCAACATCCTTTTCAGGTAACAATGTATACCGAAATCGGTTTGAAGAATAGTTTGTTAGGTACTTATTGGAGAGGTTCCTTGCTCTGTTTGCTAAACCTAATTCCTAATATACGAATCATACCACAGGCAAAGTATAATCTACTTTAATTTGAAGCAAACGACTCCCATAGAATTTGAGCCGCCCGTGGTAATTCAGGAAAATTGCTATAACCTGCTTTAACGTAAGACTTCGATCCAGCAACTTCATGTATATGTTTTTTTCTTGCGGAGACACAGGCACTCATCAACAACTCTATGAAAGCATGCAGACAAACTATTATGAATTTTAATTGATTAACAAACGAATAAATCGTATTTGACTTTTTACTTCTCGTACGATCGAAACCTTTTCAGTTATCAAAAAAGTGTTAGAGAAAGTCAAGCTTTAAAGAGGCCTTGGCCTTCTTGGTATTTCTATCTCTTCTCTCGGTTGCGAACTGTCTACACTGGGGTATTAAAGCTCTACGTTTGCTTGGGTACAGAGCACACTAAAACCAAGGACCATGACCGATCACTCAAAGCCAGTAAAAACACAGAATCATAGAAGTGATGGTTAAAATTTTCTAGTACACATCAAATTTTCGAAAATTTGCTAAATATGCGATGTATGATAATATCAAACCAGACTGGAATTGCAGCATTGAAAACACACTTTGTATAGTGCAAATGCTCGAATTAGCGAGTCGAGGGAGGAGGCGCTAATTCGAAAGTTTCAACTTTCCGCGTCCAAAAAAAAATTACCTCGCGAGCAGACCAGGTTTCTCTCTTGCATGGCTTTTAGCGTTTACAAAGTCGTTCTCGTCGCCAGTCAGTCGCGTACGTAGTTGGTTCGTTTTTTACGCCACAGGAAACAAACAAACCAACTATGCCACTGACAAGCGACGCGAACGACTTCGTCAACGCTAATGCAATACAAGAAAAAAACCTCAGCTCTCAGGGTGAGAAAAAGGTCTTCGTCTCCTGTCTCAGAGGGTCCTCTCAATTAAACACAAACTCTCACGGTAAACCAGAACATATTTGTGAGACGAAAATTCTCTTAAAAGTCGTGTTTCCTGTTAGGTCCTCTTGGTTGTGGTTTGCCTAGTCCCAGTGAAGTGCCTTTCCAGGCCTCTTCGGACAAAGCATTTCGGTGACGTATTCACGAGGAACAAACGAAGGGACTAGTATTTAGTTCTTATATCTCCACAGTTTAATAAGTTTACAGTATTTGAAACGAATAATGTAGGAAATAAAGAAAAACGGGAAAAATAGTAGAACTAATACTGAGCACTAATAGTTGAAAAAATATATATATATTCTTAATTTAGTGGACAAAAAAGGAGAAATGTGAATGCTAGCAATGAAATTTAAGCTGGTTCCACGGCACTACATATATGAAAAGCAGCCATCTTTGTTAGACATTGGCCAAACTTTGCCTAGTGAATAAGCAAGGTAAATTGAGCGATTTTTTTTCCTGGGAGATGGTTTGGGCAGCATGGCTAATTGGATATGTTTAGCCTCAAGGGGGCTGTTTTGAAGGCGGTGTTCTTTCCACCATTATGGTATGACTTTTTCTTACCACATGCCACCTGAGCTTGCAATTGTTCTGTGTTAACATTTCTAATAACGATTTGAATAATGGAAGATTTACTGTCTACAATTTTTTTAACCCCAACAGGCGCTTATGACGCTTGAGTAAGTCGATGAAATGACACAAAGCTCGTAAAATATGCAAAAACAAATTTGTTTCCCTTTAAACTTCACACCCACCTAGAGGGGACTTCTGGATAATCAACAATATGATTTTAGAATCTTCAAAGCGGAATACATTAACTTAGAGCAAAACATGTATTTACAGCCAAAGTTTTTTAAAAGAATTAACTCAAAGTATTGTAATAACACTTGCACTGAATGAGTGATGCAACATCCCCAGCCCACCCCTCCATCGAAGTTAAACCATCATGTGATTTCGGGGAAATTACCTGAGCCAAGAGACAAATTCTGAGAAGTGAAACAAGAAAAATCTCGTCCGAATCTTGTTAATCTTTTCTTGAAGTAAATACAGCATTGCTGCACGAATAAATTTCTCTTCGTCGCTGTGCTAAAATTTCATGTGGCTTCGATTCCTCTCATCAGTTAACGAAGAACAATCAAGGAGCCATTAACTTCCGCCTTGTGAATACGACAGCAGAGCAGGAACTATTGATGTCAACATCCTTTTGAGGTAACAATGTAAACCAAAATCGGTTTGAAGAATAGTTTGTTAGGTACTTATTGTAGAGGTTCCTTGCTCTGTTTGCTAAACCTAATTCCTACTATACGAATCATACCACAGGCAAAGCATACTCTACTTTAATTTGAAGCAAACGACTCCCATAGAATTTGAGCCGCCCGTGGTAATTCAGGAAAATTACTATAACCTGCTTTAACGTAAGACTTCGATCCAGCAACTTCATGTATATGTTTTTTCTTGCGGAGACACAGGCACTCATCAACAACTCTATGAAAGCATGCAGACAAACTATTATGAATTTTAATTGATTAAAAAACGAATAAATCATATTTGACTTTTTATTTTTTGTACGATCGACACCTTTTCAGTTATCAAAAAAGTTTTAGAGAAAGTCAGGCTTTAAAGAGCCCTTGGCCTTCTTGGTATTTCTATCTTACGAACTAAACTACACAATAATGACGGGGAGGGTTTCCTATAATACACTGTCTACACTGAGATACAAAATAATAGACCCTGCTCGTAAGTCGGAGCTCTACGTTTACTTGGGTAGAGAAGACAATAAAACCAAGGACCATGACCGATCACTCAAAGCCGGTAACAACACAGAATCACAGAAGAAATGGTGAAAATTTTCTAGAGCACATCAAATTTTCGAAAATTTGTTATATATGCGATGTATGATAATATCAAACCAGACTGGAATTGCAGCATTGAAAACATACTTTGTATAGTGCAAATGCTCGAATTAGCGAGTCAAGGGAGGAGGCACTAATTCGAAAGTTTCAACTTCCCACGTCCAAAAAAGGCCTTCTCGGACAATGCATTTCGGTGACGTATGCAAGAGGAACGAACGAAGGGACTAGTATTTAGTTCTTATATCTCCACAGTTTAATAAGTTTACAGAATTTGAAACGAATAATGTTGGAAAATAAAGAAAAAGGGGAAAAATACTAGAACTAATACCGAGCACTAATAGTTGAAAAAATATATATATATTCTTAATTTAGTGGACACAAAAGGAGAAATGTGAATGCTAGCAATGAAATTTAAGCTGGTTCTACGGTACTAAAAAAAGCAGCCATCTTTGTTCGACATTGGCCAAACTTTGCCTGGCGAATAAGCAAGGTAAATTGAGCGATTTTTTTTTTCCTGGGAGATGGTTTGGGCAGCATGGCTAATTGGATATGTTTAGCCTCAAGGGGGCTGTTTTGAAAGCGGTGTTCTTTCCACCATTATGGTATGCTTTTTTCTTACCACATGCCACCTGAGCTTGCAATTGTTCTGTGTTAACATTTCTAATAACGATTTGAATAATGGAAGATTTACTGTCTACAATTTTTTTAACCCCAACAGGCGCTTCGAAACCACAAATGGGATTCAAAGAGATCCAAGATGACGGAAAAGGTCGCCCCTTGATTTATTTTGGAAGAAAGGAAGCAGGTTTGCAGTCGGATAAAGTCAAGGTGAAAACTATAGCAGTTGACATAACAAGGCGAGACGGTAAAAACTATGAATGGAAGGACTTTAAGGTCGAAGTCAGGGACGGTTCTCTCAACAGCATGTGCCCTCTGTATCGCGATTACGATCCAGTAAATTTTCTTATAGTTCATTTTAGTCCTGCCGCCCCCTTTGATGCAATAATGATGTTTCTAAAGGAAGGAGTCATCCTAAGATTCAAGAATTCTGCCCAAGAACGTTACGTATTCTTTGGCCATAGTGCGAGTCAGCTCCGAGAGAGAACTTGTGTTCTGTATAATGAGAAACAAGACAGCGTTGAAGAAATTTTAGCCCATTTCGGTGAATTTGACAAGATTCAAGATGTTGCCAAGAGAGCAGCTAGAATAGGATTGCTTTTCTCAACGGCGAAGGTTGCCTGTTGGGTTCCAGAAGAAAAGATAAGTGTCGTGGCTGATGTTGAACGAGACAAGTACAACTTCACGGATGGGTGTGGCTTTATTTCAACAGAGTGCGCACAGCAGGTTACCCATAATTTAAATATTGAGAATGTGTATGAGGGCATTAAAAGACATCAGATACCGTCTGTGTTCCAGATTCGCACTAAGGGCTGCAAAGGGGTGTTGTGTCACAATCCTACTTTGGAAGAAGGGCTGCAAATCCGTCCTTCAATGGAGAAGTTCACATGGAAACGTACGGGACCACATCCCCTTGGGATTGTAGACAAGGGATTTTCAAGGCCAAACGAATTTGGCTCGTTAAATAAACAGTATATAATGCTCTTGTCGGCTCTTGGCATTCCGGATGAAGTTTTTCTGCAAAAGCAAGAGCAGTACTTCGAGGAACTTAAAGATATCACAACAAAACCTGAAGTGGCCTTTAAGTATTTATGCGTAAGTGGAGAATTTGAGCTGGCAGAGCAGTTCTGGAAGACTTGTCAAATAAATGAGAAGATAAAGAAATCGCTTGAGCATTTTCGCAATCGAGTGCGTGAGCCCCAGCAATCCAAACCGAATCCTTTGCATAAAGCTAGAAAGTCTGCTGCTCTAAAGTTGAAGATTCCCATTGAACAGTCTAGAAATGTGTATGGTGTATGTGATCCGTCAGGCACACTGAAACCCAAGACGGTTTTCTTCCAGCCAACAATTCGAGGCAGCCCCATCATTCTTAATGACAGGAAAGTGGTGGTTGCCAAAAATCCCTGTTACCATCCAGGAGACATCAGAGTTTTGCATTGTACTGACGTTCCTGAATGCCACCATCTGGTGGACTGTATTGTTTTTCCAACGCAGGGAAGGAGGCCTCATGCTGATGAAATTGCTGGAAGTGATCTCGACGGTGACAAGTTCTTCGTTTGTTGGGACAACGATCTCGTTCCGAAGAGGGACATGAGCCCTTGTCAATATCCAGCAGCGAAGCCGTTCAAACGAAGCAGCCCCTCAAGGGAGGACTTCCTAAAATACTTTGCGAGGTATAACAACGCCACCGTGGGCAAACTTGATAATCTGTTTGATAGGTGGGCTGATTCAAAAGGTATCAATTCAACAGAATGCAAGGCGGTTGCGGCTCTTTTTTCGCGTGCCATCGACGCGGCCAAGACAGGCGAGAGAGTTCTTATCCCCCTAAGTATTGGCAACGCACCACACAAGAATGACAACATGGAAAAGTTCGTTTGGCAGAAGCTCTACCAACGTGCAAAGTTATTTGAGAATGAGCAAATCATGGAAAATACGATTCTTGGAAAAGTGGAAAATTTTGAGGAAGAGGACATGCTAAACGTTATTGGTAACCAAGAATCTCGCCTCAGTGAATACCGACTGTTTAGATTTTTGTACAAATGGTGCCATCAACCCCACGAAGAAAAAGACATTTCTAATTACATCTCGCACATCGACTTTACCAAGTTCAGCGAGGAGCAGCGCAGATTGTTGCCAGCAGATATCCCGCGTGTTGAACTGAAGTCTCTTCTTCAACCTCTTTATCAGTCTAGAATTCTTTCAAGGGATGACATTGAGGTCTTTAAGCTTGAACGCGGTTACGAGAGGCGCTGGAATCTGGTATACAGAGCAGAGGATGGCGACATATCCTGGAACGTCCTTAACAATGTCCTCAACTCTCCTTTGGAAAAATTACTCGTGTTTGACTTTCTACTGGGAGGAATACAGTGGGTAATTTCCTTGACTCTGTGTGTGCCGCTAGCATCTTCTGAAGTACTAACCTTAAGCGACGAAGATGGAACCTCTCAGGCATTTGTCTCAGTAAACGTTCACTCAAGAGAAAGACATGTTTTAGAGCTAAAGGGAGGCTACAGTTTCGCTTTGGAAGGAAAACGACTTGACATTTACACCGGGAAGAAGCAAAATACATTCATCTGTCTCCGTGAAGATGAAAATGACCATGTGCCTATCATGAGTGTTGCCCTTGACCGATTCAAGTCAAACCTACCAGCATTAATACTTTGTGCAGAGGCTTCTCTCTTCAAAGAGGTCTACCTCTAAAAGACGCAGATATTGGTGAAACTAGGGCCCGTTTTCTATGCCTTCAATAATAGAGGCGTAAGACGAACCCTAAGGTTAAGCGCTGCAGATGATTCGAGCCTGAAAGTCAACTCTGGAGGCGAAGAAAAACACAGCGAGTTTGTCTCCAGGAAAGATGATTTCCCAGATCTCCACTGTGATCCTGACGAACTGGTTAGCGATTTGGAGAAACTCTTTCTGAAACTGCATAAATTGTTGGAGAAAAGCCAGCTAAAAAGTAGTCATCTCGATGAAATTCACGACCAAATGATGTCCTTAGTTGACGAGAAGGTAAATCTGCAGTTGCTTTAAATAGTCAGAAAGTCATTGCTACCTAGTTATTGATTTATGGAGTATGATGATATCACTGAGTACCAGATAGATCATCCACGGATCCTGTTCGACGAATATCTGGCCTTGGCGGAATCCGTTGTCGGGAATATTCCGTCCTAGTTAGCCAGTTATCTTTGTATGCAGCTAATTCAATAATGATTGTTTTGGGCATCAAGCAATTGCGCATTCGGAAGCTATTGTTCGGTGGTCACTCAAGCAAATCATTGTAGTGAGTTCCTTATGCCCAAATGCCCAATTGCCAGTGACCCATTGCCACAGCAATCTTTGTTGAATTGGTTATTCATGCAACTTTGATCACACAAGTGTTTGAAAACCAGTGAGTGCTAAGTGATGTTTTCAAAATCATCCTCAGTCGTTTCACTTGTCCCCTTTTTGTTTTGTTAGGAAAAGCACCAGATAGCATGCCATCTGGAGTCAGTTCTGTGGCGGTCTAGCGTAAGCATATCATTTAAGAAAACCGATCATTACAAGAGTTTGCTGATATGCCTTTTAAACGGACTGCAAGAAATCAATGTCGATGTTGTCCTTGGGGAGACCGTACTCATAACACTTGTTGGGCGTGTAAGACGATACTTGGAGTCCCTGTGGAAGAGAGATGTTAGGTTTACTGTGGACCAAATGTACGAGATCTCAGATGCGATTATTCTTGGAAATGATTACAACACTGGATGTCGTATCACTCAAGTGATTCGTGAAGGTATATTGCTTTAAAAAGAGTGAGTGACTATTAAGGACGTGTCGGAAGTATCCCATATGCATACTTTCCTTTCTTTACTCGTCCTTCCTCACTTAAGCTCTCAAAGCATTTCGGCTCAACTCATTATGGGCAAAGATAGACCCAAAATTAATCTAGCGTTTGTTATCTTCGTTGTTTACTTACCCCTACCATGCCTCCACGAATAAAATACTACCTAAATAGTAGAAAACTGGATAAACAAGACTATATAACTGGTCAACGTCTCTTTCAGGTGATTTTCCGCTGGATGGTTTCATATCTCATCCAAATGCTTTGCCGTACTTCCTTCACTGGATCTCTCTTACAACTCTTGAGTCTCTAGCAGAGATTAAAGAGGCTATCCTAGCGTCTCACAAAATGCACCCACGAGACTTTGTCAAGGCCGAAGCTTTGCCATCCAGTGCGGAGGGACTGTCTTTCACAATGTTGATTGCAGCTGGATGTCCCTTCTTCCGCCCAGCAGATGGGGTAGCTCTGAGTCGATCAGGTGTCTCCAATCGTGAATTCGTAGGCGAAATAACGGAAATCAATGGAATGTTCTTGTCTATTACTGTAGTATGGCCAGTGAATGTAGACGAAGGGTCAGTGAAGGACATTGGCAATGGTACTTGGTGCCTACATAAGTTTCCGAGTCTGGTAGGATACAAGCGTACTACCTCTGCTCTCAAAGCATTTCAGGATATGACCTCATGCGGACAAAGTATCTATGAAGAAATTGTTGGCACCTTTTGTACAAGCTCCCCTGCAAGTCCAACAGCACATGACGAGACTGAAAATGTTGAGGAAGGAGTGCAAGAAGGTAACTGTTATAAGAACTTTCTTCTGTTTATCTTGGTTTACATACTATATATACCATACCTTCTTTGATGCCAACACTCCAAACACCGAGCACGGCCGTCGGTTGAGTTTTATCTAGCTCAGAGGGGCTCTGTCACGAGAATAGTGCTGTTTTAAGCCAATTCTGTGCTGAAGTCATTGCTGTCCTTAGTGCTTTTACCCACATATGCTCCTGGAGAGCTATGTAGTTGATATGAAGCAATTCTCATCAGGGAGCACTTAATAAACCATGATAATTCATTGTGGTGATTTTTACCGGAATTGGCATTGAGACTTAAAAAAGTTGGCCCAACTTTTTCAAGTTTCAATCCATGTCCATCCTCCCCATGCATCCGTTCCAACAGACAACAGGAAACAGTTTCAATACCTAAATGTAGTCTTAAATAATTAATTGATTAATTAATTAATTAATTATGTTTGGATTTCAACTGATGTATTTATAATAATTGATGCAAACGCACGTTTTAGCTTTTTAAAATGACAGAGCCCCTTTAACAGCATAAGAGCGATGAATATGCACAACATAATTCGAGGCTATGTAATTTTACGTAACCTCTGTTCCCTGCCGATATAACATAGGACGTTTTGTAGGTAAAACACGAGAACTATGTAGTGAATGTAGCAGATTTTTGCAATGTACCCAATGTATATTTTGGATATTTTTCGGCAACCTAAAACGAGTTGTTTTAAGAGGAATACAGCAAAGCTCAGCATGTGGAGGCGGAGCCGATTTTGTGTAACTTATCTCCTAATCACTAGGTTTATTTAAGAGCGAGTCATCATTCAGCCGCTTTCCATTCTTCCTTTTAGCTTCAAATGGGTTGCCTGGCTTACGAGCAGATAAGGTTGTATCAGTGTTGTCCAGTACTTTTGAGAGGTGGGCCTCAGGCAATGAAAGCCAAAATATTGCAGTCCAAGAAGCAACTAGTGATGAGTCGGCAATAACTCTTATCCAGGGTCCCCCTGGTTCTGGCAAGACCGTCACATCTGCAGAGATCGTGCGCCGCTGGCTCTTAAGCAGCGACGATCAGGTCCTTCTCGTAGCTGAGACAAATGAGGGCGTCGACAATCTTTTGAAGAAGCTTTTAGACCATGGCATACGGAAAGAAAACATTCTTCGTTTTGGAAGCTCAGGATGGAAAGTGGCCAAAGAACTTGAGGAGCTGACCTTTGAATCCAGGTACCGGGAACAAGTTTCTGACAAGAAGGATCGAAAAAGAATCGACAAAAAGATTGCAAAAAAGATTATAGAGAGTTCCAAGGTTCTTTGCACTACCTGTATCAGCGCAGGGTCGGCGCTGCTTGACGGGATTGTGTTTCGAAGAGTCTTGATCGATGAGGCGTCTCAGGCTACTGAGCCTGCCATCTTGGTGTCTCTCTCGCATGGCTGTCAAAAAGCTGTCTTAGTTGGTAGGTTCCACTCCATTTGATGAAATTGTCTGTTGCTAATCTTCGGCTTCTTTTTCGGCAATCATTTAATGACTGTTCCAAACCTGAACTGTTCAACTTTTTTTCATCCAAATTGTCAGATATCAGTACACTTGAAGCTACTTGAAGCAACGTCGTGCAAGCGAAAATAATCAACCTAGAACTACTGACTAAAGTATTTAACGCTCACTTGAAGTAGGAGACCACCTTACCAGTTATCTTCCTTACTGGAAGCTTTTTATAGCGCCAAACGTGCAATCCGGTAGCTCGAGATCAACTCACGCCCTCTGGATTTGGTTTTCGGTTTTTCCAAGTCCAACTTGTAAGTTGGCCAACTGTTTCTCCTCTTGCCAGTAAGGATTCCTAACGTTGTTATGCTTATTGAATCAATTGTTTCACGTATTTGCTTGGGCCCATTAGCCTTTACGCTATAATGTAATATTTACTGTAACATGTATACTAGCTCTTGTTTCCCTCCTTTTTTAGTCCCTATTTTTATTGAACTTATGTAGTATTTTTGAATAAGTGTGAATAAACTGAACTTGAACTTGAATAAACTAGAAATGCATTCCAAAGAAAACTGACGCACTCTACTGCATTTTCTTTCTAGGAGATGATCAGCAATTACCTCCCATGGTGCTAAGCGAGCTTGCCAAGGGTCCTGGTCTACTTTCAGAGCCCATGTTCTCTCGGTTACGAAAAGCAGGATTTCCAGTGCGCATGCTTGAGATACAGTACAGAATGCATCCATCCATAGCCTCTTTTCCTTCAACACAATTTTATGACGGAAGGCTTCGCAGTGGTGTGTCTGAAGAACAAAGAAAAGCTCCTGCAGGATTCGCTTGGCCAAATGTGAAGAAGCCTGTTGCTTTTCTTACCACGCCGAATTCTGCACAGGAGATGAGCAAGGCGTCGTCAAAATTGAATGATTTTGAAGCCGGGAAGGTCCGTCAAGTGATTCAGGATCTTCTAGCTGCAGGCGACGTGACTGATAATGAGATCGGAATTATCACACCATACAAAGCACAGCTGAAGCTTATCACAGATAAAATGAAAGGGCTTGCAAACTTTTCGGTTAGAACCGTAGACGGATTCCAGGGACAAGAACGTGACCTTATCGTCTTCTCCGCGGTTCGGTGCAACGAGCACGGATATGTCGGTTTCCTTGACGACGCCAAGCGAATGAATGTTCTTCTGACGCGCGCGCGCAAAGGATTGATCGTCATTGGAAACAAACAGACTTTACAAAATTGTGAGCTGTGGAATGATTGGATTCAGTGGGTAGAGAAGAATAAGCTTGCAAGTGAATGTACTCCAGATTGCGCCACAGGTAAATAAGCACTAGCTTGGTGGTTTTCAACTGTTCGTGGTATTATGAGAGGTGACCATGGGAAAGCACTTTTAAGTAGGATTCATTTGAGAGGTTACATGTTAGTATCTCTGACATAAACTGAATGCATTTTGAACCACCTTGAAAAACAAAATATAACTTATGAAATAAAGCAGTCCTCAGTGGTTTTCATTGATTGATCACACAAATGGACTTTATGTACAGACTTGTCAGTTGTAACAAAATAAAACCACATTGCAGGCGAGTAAAGGTTGTCCCGTGGGAGAAACACTTTCAGGAGATTTCTGTCATGGTTCAAAGGTTGAAAAAGATCTTTTAAGTTGATTTTTTCCCCTTTTTTTAATTCCAGAAAAAGAAATTCCGGTGAGCAGCTCAGCAGAAAGAAGAGGCAGAGGCTGCGGTTTCTCACAAAGAGGACTGGAAAGAGGTCAACGCGGACGGAGAGGTGGCCGGGGGGGGAATAGCTCGCAACAGCGGGCGAACATGAGCCACAAAAGAAAATGAGACATGATGTTTGTAACGAGATCTTGCTGTTAACTCAAACTTCACGTTCTATGTTCTAAACAGCATAGGCAAGGGCATCACCAAATGGCGTCTATTGTCCAACTTGAGGTTGATACTGGGTCGTTGTAGTGTTCTATAGCTTTGTAGGACAGGTGGCATATGCTACCGCTTCGTTTGTTGGCTATTAGAGAGTGGCACAAGAGATTGTAACATATTCAAATGGTTGCTGTCCACAGCCTAGGTGTCGACAGTGGCACATTCACATGCATTGAAGGCAGTGCACAGCTTCATGCCTGAGGGTTGGGAGGGTGGGTCGCTGACCGCTCTCAAAGATGTTATTAGACAAACGTGCACAATAGGAAGAATTGCAGTAATATATACAACGCTAGTAATTGTGGGATATCTATTGTTTTGAAAATATTCTTGTTTTATTTCCGGTACTGAAAGTAGGGTTAAAATTCGTCCGCCAAAATAGTCTTACATGCAACTGGACAAAGAATCCGTTCAGTCCCAGGTTAAATCTTAAAATGCCAGCTAGCAAGAGGCATAATCGGGAATCGGGGTAGAGCCAGCTTACAATGTAAACTGGCAAAATACAGATACCTTGAGTACCATGTGACTCTTTCAGGAAAATGTTTTTAGCACGCGTATAACATGACATTGTTACCGAGTGCGTTTTTTTCTGACTTCTAAACCTTATATCCTTAACCTAAACCTTAAAAAAAAATCTTCTGGTCGATGCAGCAGATGCAGTCGTAAAAGGAATACTAAACGGTGTAAATACGTTGATGTTTACGCACAAACAAAGGCATTTTAGCGTAGATAGCTAAAATGAAACACGCTGCCCGTTTTGGATCTGAGAGTACAGGTAGATCAAGGTCGGTAAAGAAATTTAAGCGAACGCTGTTCATGAAAACCATAGCAAACAGTTATAATGTCTGCACGTTCACTTTTATCTATTGAGCAAAAACGCCCAGAAATCGCAAGCACGTGCACGACATAAAACATGGGGAAAAGGTAAGGTATTCTGCTATTTTAACTTCCAAATAACGATCGCTAAAAATTCCGATATTAAAATTATAAGTCAATCTCTAGATTGGGGTAAGTGTGTTGAGAATACAAGACTGCACTAACCACAATAGTTTCACTATTCTATAATCCATATCCAGTTTCCATAAAAATCAAGATACAAGCTCATATTAAGTTTAACTTAAGGCCCGGCCATGTTCACCAAAATTCCTTGGTGCATGCTCGGACGGGCTTCTCTTTCTGCAGACCATGTTGTTAAACAGGTTGCTTGAAATACAACCCTAAATGAATCACGTTTGTGATAAAGACATATCTTAAAATTTACGCTCGTTTTATTAGCATCGTTTACATAGTTAAATAAATTGCCTTGGAAACAAATATTGGTATCTCTGTTTCTCTGCTCGCCGACTCATTATCGCTATCCCGAGAAAAGTTGAGGGAACGTCGCCCTTTACTATAGCAAACAAGTGTAAAATATTTAATCTGACAAGATGAATTTCAGAACTGAGAATAACTTATTCCCCTAATCATAGCCTGCAGTGAAACTTGTTGAAAAAACTAGAAACTTGTTAAAATTCGTTGGCGTTGGCCCACCGTTTTGGAAGCAAGTAAAATGGATAGGAGAGGGGGGGGGGGAAGAAAGGTATTTTTCCCTCTCCTTAAACCCATTGCACCCCTCTCCCAGCTTCTTGGAATCATTTTTGCCTCCCCACAACCTTGGGTGAGTTTCATCTTCCAAAATGGCGATAGAGTAACTCGCCCATCAAAACTACGAAACTCTCTCCTTATGGTCACTACTACATTACATTGGTGTGGTTAGTAATTATACAAGCCAAATGAAGTTGGTTTGAAAACTTGTATTTGTATTCAAAGTCGTACTCGCAGTCCAATCTTAAGGTCCCTAATTATACACTAAGGCAATAATAAATGTTGCCTCTATACAGGGCTGTCACTTAAGGCTGGGGATTGGGGATTCCCTCCAGCTACTAGATAACAAAGGGAAACTAAAACCAAAAGAACTCACTAGCGGTTCTATTCCCCGATTTCTAATTGCATTTATAAAATACCTAAAATAGTACGCGCATTCTGATTGGTTAAAAACCTTCGGTTATTTATTTATTTATTTATTTTCATAGAAAACGTACAGTTATTTTATAAAAGTAATAGACCACGTAATTATGAAACACGTCTCCGAAGAGAGAAGTTTCTCCAGATGGAGATTTTCTGCGTCTATAACCACTTTGATCCCGGGCAAAAGATACGGAAGTTATTATCTCCGCATTCTGCTTGGGATTCCAATTCTGCTGGAGGTGATTCGAGCCTGAAAGTCAACTCTGGAGGCGAAGAAAAACACAGCGAGTTTGTCGCCAGGAAAGGTGATTTCCCAGATCTCCACTGTGATCCTGACGAACTGGTTAGTGATTTGGAGAAAGTCTTTGTGAAACTGCATAAATTGTTGGAGAAAAGCCAGCTAAAAAGTAGTGATCTGGATGAAGTTCACGACCAAATGATGTCCTTAGTTGACGAGAAGGTAAATCTGCAGTTGCTTTAAATAATCAGAAAGTCATTGCTACCTAATTATTGATTTATAGAATATGATGATATCACTGAGTACCAGACAGATCATCCACGGATCCTGTTCGACGAATATCTGGCCTTGGCGGAATCCGTCGCCAGGAATATTCAGTCCTGGTTGCCAGTTATCTTTGTATGCACCTAATTCAATAATAATTGTTTTGGGCATCAAGCAATTGCGCAATCGGAAGCTATTGTTCGGTCGTCACTCAAGCAAATCACTGTAGTGAGTTTCTTATGCCCGAATGCCCAATTGCCATTGACCCATTGCCACAGCAATCTTTGTTGAATTAGGTAATCATGCAACTTTGATCACACAAGTGTTTGAAAACCAGTAAGTGCTAAGTGATGTTCTAAAAATCATTCTCAGTCGTTTCACTTGTTCCCTTTTTGTTTTGTTAGGAAAAGCACCAGATAGCATGCCATTTGGAGTCAGTTCTGTGGCGGTCTAGCGCAAGCATATCATTCAAGACAACGGATCATTACAAGAATTTGCTAATATGCCTTTTAAACGGACTACAAGAAATCAATGTCGATGTTGTCCTTGGGGAGACCGTACTCATCACACTTGTTGGACGTGTAAGACGATACTTGGAGTCCCTGTGGGAGAGAGATGTCAGGTTTACTGTGGGTCAACTGTCCGAGATCTTAGATGCGATGCTTCTTGGAAATGACTACAACACTGGATGCCGTATCGTTCAAATGATTCGTGAAGGTATATTGCCTCTTCACATGAGCCCGGTTGACCGGGCTGGCCAGGTTACCGGGATGAATTTTTCGTTGGGTTCATATGAGAAATTTCAGCCCGGTTTACGAGATGAGAAAAGGCCAAAGATCCTCTGGGGCCCAATTCGAGAAACAAAGCAAACATGGCGAAATACAAAATTTTAACGTTCAGGCCTATCATAGCTTCAGTAACGCTTAAGGCTGTATCGCTGCAGTTAAATGGGATGCTTATGATGTGGAAAATACAGCAGGCAATGCAAGACGATGCCATCCGGACCGCCATAATTCATCCCGGTGTTCATCACGGTAACCGGGATGAACTGTTCATATATGACAAAATTTCCAGCCCGCTTACCGAGATCTCGAAAACCGAGCCAGCCCGCCCTCTCATATGAACATATCGAAAATTTTACAAAGGATTTAGAGGTGAGGCGAGATCTCGGAAACCAGGCTAGCCCGGTCAACCGGGCTCATATGAAGAGGCCCTTAAAAAGAGCGTGCGACTATTTAGGAAGCATTTGAAGTCTTGCGTTTGGTATTCACTTCCCGGTTTTACTGCTTTATCCCATATCCAGATTTTCCTTTCTTTTTACCCAGCCTAAGGGCCTCTTCATATGAGCCCGGTTGACCGGGCTGGCTCGGTTACCGGTATGGATTTTGCCTTGGGTTCATATGGGAAATTTCAGCCCGGTTTCCGAGATGAAAAAAGGTGAAAGATCCTGGGTATGAGTTCTGGCGCCAAATTTGGGAAACAAAGCAAACATAGCGAAACACAAAAATTTTAACTTTCGGGCCTATCTTAGCATCGGTAACTGTTAAAGCTGTATCACTGCAGTTAAATGGGATGCTTATGATGTGGAAAATACAGCAGGTAATGCAAGACGATGCCATCCGGGCCGCCAGAATTCATCCCGCCGTTCATCCCGGTAACCGGGATGAAGTGTTCATATGGCAAAATTTCCAGCCCGCTTACCGAGATCTCGATTGGAAAAACCGAGATCTCGGGAACTGAGCCAGCCCGCCCTCTCATGTGAACACATCGAAGTTTACCAAAGGATTTAGAGGTGAGGCGAGATCTCGAAAACTGGGCCAGCCCGGTCAACCGGGCTCATATGAAGAGGCCCTAACATACTGTTGCGCACCCAAAGCCCTCTATTTTCATTTCGGCCCACCTCATCATGGGCAAGGCTAGACCCAAAATTAATCTGGCGTTTGTAATATTCGTTGTCTATTTTCCTCTGCCATGCCACCACGAATATCATAATCTTTAAAAAAAAAATAGCAAAACACCTTGGTAAACAAGACTAATTAAATGGTCAACGTCTCTTTCAGGCACTTTTCCCCTGAATGGCTTCACATCTCATCCAAACGCTTTGCCGTACTTCCTTCACTGGATCTCTCTTACCACTCTTGAGTCTCTCGAAGAGATTAAACAGGCTGTCCTGACTTCTCACAACATGCACCCACGAGACTTTGTCAAGGCCAAAGCTTTGTCATCTAGTGAGGAACAACTCTTGTTCACGATGTTAATTACAGCTGGATGCCACTCAGGCTTTCGCCCAGCAGATGGGGTAGCTCTGAGTCGATCAGTTGTCTCCAATCGTGAATACGTAGGCGAAATAACGGAAATTAAAGGATTGTTCTTGACTTTTACTGTAGTATGGCCAACGAATGTAGACAACGGATCAATGAAGGACATCGGCGCGGGTACTTGGTGTCTTCATAGGTTTCCGAGCCTAGTAGGATACAAGCGTACTACTTCTGCTCTCAAAGCATTTCAGGGTATGACCTCATGCGGGCAAAGTGTCTATGAAGAAATTATTGGTAGCTTTTGTGTCAACATCCCTGCTAGTCCAAGAACACATCAAGAGAGTGAAAATGCTGAGGAAGAAATGCAAGAAGGTACTTGTTGTAAGAACTCTGTTCTGTTTACCTTGAATATACAGTATTTTCATACCACTAAATTTCTGTCCTTATAAGATATAAAACGCCCTTTTTGATGCCGACACTCCAAACACCGGGCACGTCGGTCGAGATTTAGCTAGCATAAAAGTGATCTGTCACGAGAATATTGGTGTTTTGGGTCAATTCTGTGCTGAAGTCATTACTTAGAGCTTTTGCCCACATATGCTCCTGGAGAGCTATGAAGGTGATATCAAACAAATCTCATCAGGGAGCACTAACCATGATAATTCATTGTGATGATTTTTGCAGGCATGGCATTAGGAACCGATAGTTTATTACGTCCGTGAGGGTCCGAGCAGTGTGGTGTATCTGAAAACTTTACCCCCCCCAAAAAAATACAATAATTACACATGATAATTGTACCCCTCCCCCCCTTGGCAATAACAATTTTTTAAAATGCACCCCCCTCCAACCCCTTTTAAGCCAAGTCTCTTCTTCCATCCGTGGGCATTGATTTCATAAGCTATAAGATACCGGCAGTAGGCAGCGTAGCGTGAGATTTTGAAGGTGCACGCAGGGGAAGACAAGTAAGCGTAAAGGTAACAAGGCGCCCCAAGCCTGGGGAAGTCACTGTCTGGGGGCATCCTCCCCCAGAAACATTTTAAATTTCCGGTCTCGGAAATGCCATCTCCTGCGTTTTCTGCAGGACATTTTCAGAAAATAAAGACGAAGGAGAATGCAGTAATTAATTGTTTATTTTACCCATCTATCTTTAGTGTTGTCGGTAAGGTACGGACTGTTTACGGCAAAAAGGGTAAAACAGTGACGCCATCAAGGAGGTTACAGGCAAAGGGCGAGATGTGTACTCTTCAGACAAGCAAACTCTGTTATAATGCTATCAATATCAATTACGTCCTTGTGCTTGTGTATGTGCAGAATTGCAAGAGAGCTCAACCTCTCGTCTGTCATGGTCCTTTGTAAAGGAGTTTGCAGTCTCTTCATACCGCTGAAACTACGCTCAGCTGTGCATGTTGACACAGGATAACTCAACAAAGTTATGAGAGCTACATTATACTCCGGGGTAGAATTGTAATTAGCTTGGTCAATCTCAACCAAGGTCTGTCGCTTCACATTCAGATCCATTTCACTCCACGTAATCAGTAAAACGATAAAAGAAATCCTGACACAAAAACACCAATATAATGCGAAATATTTATGCCAAATTAATGATAAAAATGCTTTCAGAAAATAAAAAAATCTATATATTTTCTCCAGATTTCAGGTGTATGCATAGGCAAATGTTCGTACATCACGCTACATTACTGGTAGTAGAAATAGCTGATAGGTTTCTGGGCCAAGCTTTATATGGGTAACATTTTATTGTTGACAAAGAACCGCCGAAGCAAATTTTTTTTGTCTGTTTTTGAAGGAAACGTGGATTTGCTTCAATCATAATATAGCTTTGCAACTTTTACATAGAAGACCAGCCCTGGGTCTTAATATTTCGACCCCCCTCACATTTTGGGCAATTTCAAAATTGACCCCCCAAAATCAAGCCTCTTAGAAAATTGTACCCCCCTCCCGGACGTAATAAACGATCGGCCCCTTAAAACTTTTCAACTTTGAATCCATGTCCATCGTCGTCATCCGTTGTAACAGACAACCGGAAACAGTTTCAATGCCTAAATAATATTTAATATTATAGTCTTAAATAATTCATTAATTATGTTTGGAATTGGATTAATGTCTTTAATTGACGCGAACGCACGTTTTAGCTTTTTATAATGACAGAGCCCCTTTAACTGTATAAGAGCGATTAATATGCACAACATAATTGATGGCTATGTAATTTGACGTGACCTCTGTTTCCCGCTGATACCACATAGGAGCTGTTTTGCAGGTAAACCACGAGAACTATCTAGTGTATGTAAGAGACTTGCAATGCCTCCGATGTTTATTTTTCGGTAACCTAGAACGAGTTGTTTTAAGTGGAATACAGAGGAGCTTAGCGCGCGCAGAAGGAGCCCATTTTGTGCAACTTATCTCTAATCACCAGGTTCATTTAAAAGTGAGTTAACATTCAGCCGCTTTTATACTTCGTTTCTAGCTTCAAATGAGATGGCTGGCGTACGAGCAGATAAGGGTGTATCAATGTTGTCCAGAACTTCTGAGAGGTGGGATTTGGGCAATGAAAGCCAAAATATTGCGGTCCAAGAAGCAACAAATCATGCGTCGGCAATAACTCTTATTCAAGGTCCCCCTGGCTCTGGCAAGACCGTCACATCTGCAGAGATCGTGCGCCGCTGGCTCGTAAGCAGCGACGACCCGGTCATTCTCGTAGCTGAGACAAATGAGGGCGTCGACAATCTTTTAAAGAAGCTTATAGAGCATGGTATACAAAGAGAACAAATTCTTCGTATTGGAAGCTCAGGATGGAAAGTGACCAAAGAACTCGAGGAGCTCACCTTCGAATTTAGGTACCGGAAACAAGTTCCTGACAACAGGGATGGAAAAAGAATCGATAAAAGGATTGCAAAAAAGATTATAGAGAGTTCTAAGGTCCTCTGCACTACCTGTATCAGTGCAGGGTCGGCACTTCTTGACAAGATTGTGTTTCGAAGAGTCTTGATCGATGAGGCGTCTCAGGCTACTGAGCCTGCCATCTTGGTGTCTCTCTTGCATGGCTGTCAAAAAGCTGTCTTAGTCGGTAAGTTCCTTCCATTTGATGAAATTGTCTGCTGCTAATCTTCGGGGTCTCCTTCGGTAATCATTTAACGAGAGTTCCAAACCTGGACTGTTTAACCTTTTTCACCCAAATTGTCAGATATCAGTACACTTGAAGCAACGTTGTCAACGTTATGCAAGCGAAAATAATCAACCTAGAGCTACTAACTGTTTAACGCTCACTGGACGTAGGAGACCACCTTACAAGTTATCTTCCTTATTGGAAGCTTTTTAAAGCGCTAAACGTGCAATCCGGTAGATCGAGATCAACTACATTTCCTGCCCGCTGGATTTGGTTTTCGGTTTTCCCGAGTCTAACTTTTCTACCACACTTGTAAGTTGGCCAACTGTTTTTGTTCCTACCAGTAAGGATTCCTAACCTTGTTATGATTATTTGAATCAGTTGTTTAACGTATTTGCTTGGTCTCATTAGCCTTTGTGCTATAAACTAGAAATGCATTCCAAAGAAACCTGACCCACTCTACTGCATTTTCTTTCTAGGAGATGATCAGCAATTACCTCCCATGGTGCTAAGCGAGCTTGCTAAGGGTCCTGGTCTACTTTCAGAGCCCATGTTCTCTCGGTTACGAAAAGCAGGATTTCCAGTGCGTATGCTTGAGATACAGTACAGAATGCATCCATCCATAGCCTCTTTTCCTTCAACACAATTTTATGACGGAAGGCTTCGCAGTGGTGTGTCTGAAGAACAAAGAAAAGCTCCTGCAGGATTCGCTTGGCCTAATGTGAAGAAGCCTGTTGCTTTTCTTATCACGCCGAATTCTGCACAGGAGATGAGCAAGGCGTCGTCAAAATTGAATGATTTTGAAGCCGGGAAGGTCCGTCAAGTGATTCAGGATCTTCTGGCTGCAGGCGACGTGACTGATAATGAGATCGGAGTTATCACACCATACAAAGCACAGCTGAAGCTTATCACAGATAAAATGAAAGGGCTTGCAAACGTTTCGGTTAGAACCGTAGACGGATTCCAGGGACAAGAACGTGACCTTATCGTCTTCTCCGCTGTTCGGTGCAACGAGCACGGATATGTCGGTTTCCTTGACGACGCCAAGCGAATGAATGTTCTTCTGACGCGCGCGCGCAAAGGATTGATAGTCATTGGAAACAAACAGACTTTACAAAATTGTGAGCTGTGGAATGATTGGATTCAGTGGGTAGAGAAGAATAAGCTTGCAAGTGAATGTACTCCAGATTGGGCCACAGGTAAATAAGCACTAGCTTGGTGGTTTTCAACTGTTCGTGGTATTATGAGAGGTAACCATGGGAAAGCACTTTTACGTAGGATTCATTTAAGAGGTTACATGTTAGTATCTCAGACATAAACTGAATGCATTTCGAACCACCTTGAAAAACAAAATATAACTTACCAAATAAAGCAGTCCTCAGTGTTTTTCATTGATTGATCACACAAATAGACTTTATCTACAGACTTGTCATTTGTAACAAAATAAAACCGCATTGCAGGCGAGTAAAGGTTTCAGGAGATTTCTGTCGTGGTTCGAAGGTTGAAAAAGATCTTTTAATTTGATTTTTTCCCTTTTTTTTAATTCCAGAAAAAGAAATTCCGGTGGGTAGCTCTGCAGAAAGAAGAGGCAGAGGCCGCGGTTTCTCACAAAGAGGACTGGAAAGAGGTCAACGCGGACGGAGAGGTGGCCGGGGGGGAATAGCTCGCAACAGCCGGCGAACATGAGCCACAAAAGAAAATGAGACATGATGTTTGTAACGAGATCTTGCTGTTAATTCAAACTTCACGTTCTATGTTCTAAACAGCATAGGCAAGGGCATCTCAAAATGGCGCCTATTGTCCAATTTGAGGTTGATACTCGGTCGTTGTAGTGTCCTATAGCTTTGTAGGACAGGTGGCATATGCTACCGCTTCGTTTGTTGGCTATTAGAGAGTGGCACAAGAGATTGTAACATATTCAAATGGTTGCTGTCCACAGCCTAGGTGTGGACAGTGGCACATTCACATGCATTGAAGGCAGTGCATAGCGTCATGCCTGAGGGTTGGGAGGGTGGGTCGCTGACCGCTCTCAAAGATGTTTTTAGACAAACGGGCACAATAGGAAGAATTGCAGTAATATATACAACGCTAGTAATTGTGGGATATCTATTGTTATGAAAATATTCTTGTTTTATTTCCGGTACTGAAAATAGGGTCAAAATTCGTCCGCCAAAATAGTCTTACATGCAACTGGACAAAGAATCCGTTCAGTCCCAGGCTAAATCTTAAAATGCCAGCTAGCAAGAGGCATAATCGGGAATCGGGGTAGAGCCAGCTTACAATGTAAACTGGCAAAGATGTCTATGGAACTCATGGTACACTGAGAAAGTCCTTTTACAAAAATCGTGCGCATATTGTACTGTAACAATGGCTCACGCAAAAAAAGACTGAAGATTTGGAATATAGGAATTGGATTTGGAATTTTTTTAATCTTCTGGTCGATGCAGCAGATGCAGTCGTAAAAGGAATACTAAACGGTGTAAATACGTTGATGTTTACGCACAAACAAAGGCATTTTAGCGTAGATAGCTAAAATGAAACACGCTGCCCGTTTTGGATCTGAGAGTACAGGTAGATCAAGGTCGGTAAAGAAATTTAAGCGAACGCTGTTCATGAAAACCATAGCAAACAGTTATAATGTCTGCACGTTCACTTTTATCTATTGAGCAAAAACGCCCAGAAATCCCAAGCACGTGCACGACATAAAACATGGGGAAAAGGAAAGGTATTCTGCTATTTTAACTTCCAAATAACGATCGCTAAAAATTCCGATATCAAAATTATAAGACAATCTTCAGATTGGGGTAAGTGTGTTGAGAATACAAGACTGCACTAACCACAATAGTTTCACTATACTATAATCCATATCCAATTTCTATAAAAATCAAGATACAAGGTCATATTAAGTTTAACTTAAGGCCCGGCCATGTTCAACAAAATTGCTTTGTGCATGCTCGGACGCGCTTCTCTTTCTGCAGACCATGTTGTTAATCAGGTTGCTTGAGATACAATTGTGATAAAGACATATCTTAAAATCTACTCTCGTTTTATAAGCATCTTTTACATAGTTAAATAAATTGCCTTGGAAACAAATATTGGTATCTCTGTTTCTTGGTTGACTTATAAAAAATGCTCACCGACTCATTATCGCTATCCCGAGACAAGTTGAGGGAACGTAGCCCTTTACTTTAGCAAACAAGTGTAAAATATTTAATCTGACAAAATGAATTTCAGAACTGAGAATAACTTATTCCCCTAATAATTGAATTTATCTACTGATCTTTCAAAGACACTCATTCTGGTTAAACCATATTTCTAATCATCTTGAACTTAATATCAGGCTTTGTTGTTCGCTAAACTATCTAAAGAAAAATCATACGTAAATAAATGGTCAATTCTACCACATTTGTCACAAACACCACAAGTCTGACTATGGTGCAATCAAAAACAATGCGCCTTATTCAAAATCTTCCGCTGAAAAGTCAGACCAGTTCAAGATGCAGGGTTGACTGTCGAACCGAAAGCCACTGAGTATTACCAGAACCATATAACAATGACGCCTCTAAATTCCCCTTATTTGTTTGGAACCATGCTGAGGGTTTTCAGCCGTCAAATCACAAGCACAGATATTTTTCACTCAAATATAAAATGAGAGAATTGAATGCATCCCTTTCGAAAATAGGTAATAACGGATTTTTTCAATCCTTAGCAGTCCTGCAAGTACGTCCATAACTCACTGGTACAACGGCCTTTAAACATTGCCCTTTATATTAAAATAGCAAACTTAAAAAACTATGAGGAAAAATAAAGTCACGTAATGCTAACGTGTACACTTTTAAGCGCGCTGACTTTCGTAAGGGCCGTAAGATGTTACTTCGTGATACTATAATTGCCGTTTGGAGCACTTCGTTTACATCGCGATACAAGGATTTCCTAAGAACTCGCGCGACAGTCAGTAATTCCATGTTAGGAAGTAAATTTTGATTGGTTCTCCAAAAAACCCCTGCACTGGAACAGGGTAATACGCTTCAGGAAGCTTTAGAAAGTTGTTACAATTCAGTGGCGTTGTCCCACCATTTTGGAAGCAAGTAAAAATAAACAGGAGAGGGAGGGGGAGAGAAGAGAAAGAGAAAGGTATTTTCCCCTCTCCTTGAACCCATTGCACCCCTCTCCCCCCTTGGAATCATTTTTGCCTCGCCACAACCCTGAGTCAGTTTCATCTTCCAAAATGGCGATAGAATAACTCGCCCATCAAAACTACCGAAACTAGAACTTTTTCCTGATGGTCACTAGTACATTATATAGGTTTGGTAAGTAATTATACGAGCCAAATTAAGTTGGTTTTGAAAGCTTGCATTTGTATTCAATGTCGTACTTGCAGTCCAATCTTAAGGTCCCTAATTATACACTAAGGCAATAATAAATTTTGCCTCTATACAAGGCTATCACTTAAGGCTGAGGGCTGCGGATTTCCTCCAGATACCAGATAACAAAGGGAAAATAAAACCAAAAGAACTTACTAGCGGTTCTATTCCCCAATTTCTAATTGCATTTATAAAATACCTAAAATAGTACGCGCATTCTGATTGGTTAAAAACCTTCGGTTATTTATTTATTTATTTATTTTCATAGAAAACGTACAGTTATTTTATAAAAGTAATAGACCACACTTTCTATGGGTTTACCGGCGTGATAACCCACGCGGGATGTTGGGAGAACACTCAGAGAACACTTCGGCTCGTGATTTACAAGCTTTTCTCACGTATGTGATGTGAAATCTTAGTGACAGCCTTGTCTTTATGAAATAATTCTCTTCCGCAGTGAATCCCAGTGGAATTTCAAACAAAGTAACCATGCAAGATATGATGGGAAGAGAGAAAATGCATTTCTAACCCTTCCCATTCTCCCTGGCCCCTTCTTTCCCCTCCACCCCCCCTAACCTCCTAGTGGCACAAGAAGGTCCATGTAAAGGGAGAGAGATAAAATTGATTGAACTTTAAAGCCTGGGTTATTTGTTTACTATTTCAAAGACGGTAACACTAAAACCAGTGCTTGTGTTAAATCAAAACAATAAATATATATATTCTCAACTGAAATTTCCCTCTGTTTTCTATTCCACAAATATGCATTCATAAACATCTGAAAAGAGTTTTATATATATAGTTTTCTAGGGTAGCATCACACCGATCACACCGCTTGAAATGGATTAACACACAACCCAAGCCTGCGAACTAACTCTCTGTTTGAGAATATTGTGAGAGTTGAGAGGTCCTGCCAGGAGGGGGGGGTCCCATGTTGCCTGTCTGAATTTTAAAATGTCTCGTGTCGGTGTTTATAAATGCTTGTCGCTTATTGTCGGCTTTGCCATCACTGTCACAATTTGGCCGAGGGAGGTTGTCTCTTGTCGCGATTTCATTTTACCCCGTGTCACTTGTTGGAATTTACTCTGGCAGGGCCTCAGTTGAGTGTCTCCTTCCTCCTAGTGATTCTCATAATTTATGTAGACTCTGCTTGCAGGCTGAAAAAATCAATTCTCTAAACAATAAACAATGTTTCCCAAAAGGGAACAAACATTTAACATTCTCTCTTTTTTCTAGGATGTAGACAAGAATCTCCAGAACAAATATATTATTTATCATTAATCTAGTTCATTGATGATGTTGTTGCTTTTTTTTTTCAAGATTCTTTCACTTTGCAACAGACCAATGAAATTTAGAACAGAAGGTAGTGAAATTGAAAGCCCATTCAGTATTAGAATTTCCTTGGGTTGGGTATGGTCACAATATTGTGAGCCTGCAGGACTTCTGAAGAAAAGGGAGGTTGGGCATGTGGTGGGGAATTTTCTGGAGCAACAGATCAAATGCATTTACATTTTCTCAGAACTAATACTGTCAATAACAAATACATGTAAACTTCATTAGAGTGTTCTTTGTTTGATTCATGACTTTGCTGCTGGGGGTACTACACAGACAGGACACTGCGAGTGGTGGACCACATAATCACTAACACTACCAAGTATTGTACGTCGAGCTGCGCTTTGTCCACGGTTTCCAGTGACGATGAGGTCAACTTTTCCATTAGAAGCTTCTGTACATATTACATTGCCAGCAGGTTTGCCAACCACAAGAATAATTTCATAATGTAACTACATGTTAGAAAAGAAATGACAAAATAGATCAGATGAGAGCTGTGTTACAAAGACCCATCCACAATCAATTGCCACAAAATTTTCCCTCCAAATTGGTCTTACAAAAGGACAAATTTATACTCCCTATCAAATGAACCTGGCAGTTTATTTAGTTAAATGAAAAATTTGAGAAATAGTTCACTGCCACAAGCTTAGCAGTCTCTGCTGATCAGCGGTCAAACTCCCAAGTGAAGGCTCACATGGAACGATGTTGCTGTACACAGCCAGGATTGTTGAGTCTTTTTCTTGAGTGGTTTTTATAGCAGCTATGTTTGTGCAGAGCAGTTTGAAGCAGTTGTGTTTAGCATTTCCCCACTCTCCCTTAGTACCCTTTATGTCTCCTTGCACTGATTCATCAGTATGACAGGTTCCTGGAATGGGGGCCCATAGCTGGCTTGCGGGAATTTACCAGTCACTGGGACAGAATCTATGTAGGGGCTGGCTGGCCTGGATACCCCAGGCAGCCAACTTCCATTTAGCAGGGCAACTGGTTAATTTAAACTAGCTCATTCCTCAGGTTGCTCTGTGCAGTCAAAAATTTAATATTATTGAGAACTTGAAAACCCTTAACTGATGAAATATGAAATACTTATGATTGATCATATTTAAATCAAATTCTGGTTTACAACCTTAAGTGTTTTACATCTTTCCTCGTATGCCCTCATCATCTCTTTTGCTTGTTCTCTTAACTCACCCACCATCTGGCTCCACTCCTCATAGTAAGCAAAGACAACTATGACAAAAGGAAAATGGTAAATTTTACACATTGTTTTATTCAATTTCAGCATTATCCTGAGATTAAAAATGATTTGAAATCAATCTTGCAGCTATATTTGCTGGCCTTCTTCAGGAAAATTAAGAAAATAGCCACAGAAAAATCGCATGATGCTGTCTGTGACCATGGCTGGAGGCATTGACTGTTAGACCTCAGTTAGCCCCAACTCTCTGAGCCAAAATCAAAATAACAATTTGGCAATCTTAGCTGAGAAAGGTTCAAGTATTTATCATTAATTACATGTAACTTACAAGGTCCTGAGGAGTATGGAAGAGGTGGAATTTCAAAAGCATGAAGAACCAGTAATGAATCCTCCTTACAATATATGTTCTTCAAATAGACTGCAAATGATAAGAAAAGATTATTAATAGTTGAAGGCATCTGTGGAACAAGGGCACATCTGACAAATTAGGGCTTTTTGTTTATTAATACATTCTTTCTCAGAAAAGAAAGGCAAACCAGTGGAAAAAATTGCTGAATTTTATTGACTCCAGGTCAGAACAAGTCTATATGCAAAAGTCCAGCAATGTTTTTGAACCATTTCAATTTTTGACCAAATTTATTATTCACCAACAAAATGCAATGTGAGCAATGAAGACCACACTCCAGTTTTAAGTGAATTATTTTAAGATTAAGTGCACCTTTTTTTAACCATAACCTTTGTTCCAGAGGAATTTCGTGCACTGTTTCATGGATAATTCAGTTCAAAATGAAAGATCAGTGAGTATAGGAAACACAAACCGTACACAAAAAATTCTTTACGGAAAAAAATCAAACTATTGAAGAAAATTCTCAGTTAATCCAAGATATCTGCAAGAACTACATAAGCCATGTCTAACTCCCTCACTCATTTCTTACTAAAATGTTATTCTTTGAGCTCTTTATTCACATATATCATTAAATATTTAACACTTATTCACCTGAGTGACAGTGGCCAGTGGTGCATAGTTACTGAGCCACAAAGTGGCCAGGTAAATAACCAACACTAGCCACTGACACTGAGGTGAATAATATTGTATTAGTACATACTAAAACAGAGAGATAATTCAGCAAAAAATGATGATTTTTAACTCATTTATTGCTGCCAACGATAACAAATTTGGCATGCAATTGACCAAACAGCTGTTACATTTTCTTGCCAATAAATAAAGTATTTGAGGGCATTTGTTTCACTGTTGCAGGGTCATTTCTTCAAAAAGAATTGTCAGTTCTCTCTTTATTTGAAACCATTGTGTAAAAAAACATTTAATTTGCTTTTGAAGTTATTAATGACCATACAGCTAAATAAAGTAACTCAACAATTAATTTGCATATTTTGTAAACAAAGAACTTTTTCATCGGTTTCATCGATGAATCCAGGTTAAACAGACAAAGCTTTACCTGTAAAAAATGCCAACCGAATTTCATTGCCTTCTTCATGTTTTTCCAGAACAGCTTCTTCATTTAGTTGTAAAATTTCTTTGTTTGTTATGGTAGCAAACCAGGTAGCCATTTTTCCCATAACTTACGCAAGTTTGGTGTTGTTCGAAAGTAATAGCACTGGATATCCCGAGTTTGAGTAGCCAATCAGAGCACATGAAAAGCACTATCCACTGTTTTAGTTTATACTAAGGATAAAATAATAGCTTATTATTTATCTTTGATCTGAACATTAGCCCAAGCAGCAAGGGGCCCACATGCCTGATCAGGTCCACAAGACCAGAGTTTACCCCTATTTCCGCAACATGAAGCACCCAGGTTCTTAGACAAGTTTTTTAGAATTCTGGACTTTCTTACCCCCTAGACACCCATCCCAAGGATTTGGTACTGCAATAACCCCTCCTCCCACCCCAGCCTGGTCATTCAGTCACGGGTAGAAATGATCCAGTGGACTTCAACATTGTTATTCAGGAGGAGTATTTGTAGTTCCCAGTGCTTTCAAGAGCTTTCTCTTTGAACTAAACATAGAAAATTATGTCCTATTATCTTAACGTTTTTGTCCAACACGGTAGGATTATTATTCACATCCCCTTGATGGGATATTCAGGGTTCCTAAATTTTTGGCCAAAAAATTTAAGGACTTTTCAACAACTTTCAAGGACATATTTCCCATTTTTCAACAACTCTCTTCAGTGCAAAAGAGAGGCTTGAATCTATGTCTTTTTTAGCTCTTCTGCAACATGACCAATTTTATCCTGAAGGTCTTTCTGTGTTTGCTCCTTTTCCTTTGGATTGAATAAAGTTAGCACTGAAATTCAAGGACTTTCCACCACCAACTGTTATTTTCAAGGACTTCCAAGGCCTTGAATGTTTATTTAAATTCAAGGACTTTCAAAGTGCATGCAAACCCTCCATATTAGTCCCAGGGGTTGATGGTTGCCCGCTTGCTAGGGGAAACTACAAATCTCCCAGTTGGGCAACTAAAATTTCAATGAACATTATATGTTAACAACTAATATTTTTGAGTTCTTACTTTTTGTGTAGTCTGAATGAAATATAATTATCATGTCAATGTAAGAATAGAAAACTATTTATCTCAGTACAATCAAAGCTGTGATATGGAGGGCCATATAAGGCAGTCGCAGAATTTGTCTGTCGTACTTTATAAATTAAAAAACACCAAGTTTAGTATCTCAGGCCCTTTCTAATGGAATAACCCCCAACCCCCTCCCCAAGAAAAAAGGTTAAAATACTTTTTAGGCTAAATAAGCCTTGGACGCGGTTTAATATCGGCTAATGTGAAGAACGGCATCTGAACCGGGCCTAACTTTACTACTGGGATGAAAATGTAGGATATTTGCATTTTTGCAGAATCAAATTTCTAACGACATCGAGAGGTTTTGACTGAAATTCTTAAAATGTTAATTTATAAGCTTATAGGTTAATGTAATCACGAGATGGCGTGAAGTCTACTATAAAAATACTCAGACCAAATTTTACAACACCAACTAAATACAATTCTGATCGGTCATGGAACTTTTTGTCCAATTTCACATTCCAAGCGATCTAATTTAGGCGGCTCGCAACATCTTCCGTTATAAGGCCGAGCTAAATAGTGTTTTATACTGAAAACATGTTTATGCTCTCTACAACGCAGGCATTACCACAGTCACGAACAATTTGTGACGTATGGCCCGTTGCCAGACCCAAAGTTTTTTAGATCAATAGAAAATATTTTCTCCCTATATATTTTCACCCTACTCACATTCGAATGCTCGATCACTGTGCTCGCTGCCATCTACTGCAATGAGGACTTTCCTACCGTTTGTTGTCTTCTCCGCCATTGCACTCTTGTTTAACGTGGCAGAGCTGTGAACTGGTACCTGTCGGAGCCTGCTATCGGTCACGCACAGCGGGGAGTATGTAAGAACGTGCGATATTCCATGTATCGGTGCGTTTCTGGGTGCGTTTCGTGCATGCTGGATAGCCAACCTAGTCAACCTAGTCAACCTCGCTAGCGATCTTGTTGTGACGTGCACGCAATCGTCGCTGCCAAAGCGCGCGCGAAGAGCGCGCATCTCTGAGCCACAAAAAAACTTCCATCCCTACATCACTATTGAAAAGAGCGGTGAGGCAACTCTTTACTTTGGAATAACTGAACTACAGTCGAAACTCCACTAACGGCCACGTCTCCATAACGGCCACTTCTTTCAGCTTCTTTTTGTCCCGGCGGACAGTCCAAACATTGACTCTTGTTTAAGCCTCTCAACAACGGCAGCGGCCACTAAATCGTGTCTACGTGGCTCGAGTTTATGAGAAAGAGGACCACCGTACGACCCCGGAACTGTTTCTCATCATCAAAGAATCTTGGCTTTTACAGGGACCTTGGAGAGGGAGGGCCAGAGGGTCTTTTGCCCCCCTCCCCCTCCCCCTCTTCCCACTCATGCACCACTTACCTGGTTTATTCTACAATGGTTCTATAGTCATTCACATGCTCACATCTTTGTAAACTTTGCAAACGTCTCTTAGTTTTTTCCTTTTATTTAAAACTTTTAGCTAACGCCTTGCGCCAATTGTTTTTAAGAGACGGTCAGATTATTGACTGTGATAAATTACTTGCACAGTTTCTATGTAGAAACAATTTGCTTTTGGATCAAAGTTTCTCCGAATTATTGGTTTCTTGAGGCCCTTTTTAAGCTGTTTTTCGCCATCAATGTTTCAGACAGCTATGATTTCTAAGAAGAAAAGAACGGAAACATGAATCGAAGGAGCCCCAAGACGACTTTTTTCCGCGAAAACGTCCATTGAAAAACTGTTGTGCGGTGTCCTCAGTTGCGGCTTAACCGCGACAACGAGGCGCAACTTGTCAATGGAGATGAAAGCTATTTTACCCCCATGGTTTATTACATCCTAAATATTTTGAGATCGGAACAATTTTACCTTTTCACTTTTTTTCAAGTGGGTAGTTTAAATTTCTTGTGCAGGCTGTGGCCTGACTGTTAGGTAAAAATAATCGGTCAAAAATATCAAAACATTACTTTTAAAAAGCAGGCGGAAATCACGAAGTGTTTTACAACTAAAACTGAATGAATTGAGTGAAATTTCTATGGATAGCAAATGTATAAAAAGAACTTAAGTAATTATCACTGAATTGGAATAAGTCAAGAAATAGGAATAAAATTAAGAATAATGTACGTGCTAAAATTTGTGCTAAGTAGCAAATCGAAACTACGGCTTTTGGCCTTGTTGTACAAGCCACGCCACTTCAGTTTAAGCAATATGCATACATCTGCAGCTCAGAATAGAGTTGTCTAATGTCCCCGTTTTCAGAGCAAAAGATATACGAATATTATTATTAGACCAGTTACTATAATTATGAAATGAGATGACTGGACTTTGTTAAAATGTTACCAGTCAGCGAAAATAGTGATAGAGTCAGTTCTACTGAGCATCGCATTGCCGCTATTCACGTAGATGTCAAGAGTAAGTTGATTAGGTTCCATCCAGTCGCAAACGTTCAGCATAGATTCAATTTCAGAAATAAGTTTCTAGGAGAAATTAAAAGCAGTATCATCAAACTCGGGAACAATCAGCAATTCATTCACAAAATATTATAAACAGCAGTGTCACCAAAAAAGAGCCCTGGGGACCTCAGACGGATACTGCAGCTTGGTTAGTCTATGCATTGCCACAACAGGTATAAAAGTTGGCTAATTTGTTCTTTATTTACCCATGACTAATATACAAATCACGTTTACAGCAAGTAATATTTAATTGATTTAATTAATTATAACCAATTGAAAAATTAACTCCATCTACAAACGCCTGCTTGCAAAGCAGTGTTAACCCTGAGCCACTGGCTTTGGGGTTTCCTAACTCCCCTCAGTGACTTTTCTTATAATTGGTTGACATAAACGGCCTAAATGGGTGTGATAATAAAGCCTTTAACCTTTTTACGTATCTTCTTGTCACTTTTCTCTGCAGTGCGGTTGAACAGTACTAATACATCTTCATCTTAATACAGCTAATTAGAAATCTTGATTTTTGGCACATTAATTCAGCAAACCGGTTTCTCGATCTTATGCTGATAAGCCAAAACCTGTATAAACCTTTACGCGAGACAAAAAGGTATTCATCAGCTTCGTAAAACTAATGATTTAATTTGTTTTGAGAACCAACAACCAGAATGTGTTTTCATCTGTTTTTAGAACAGTGCTCCCTGAATATTAAATGAGCAAAAGATGCAAAGATCGGCATATTTAGACTTTCCGCCATTTGGTAATCTTACGCAAAGATCCACATACTACTGGAAGTAACCGGCATATGCTATAAAGCCTTCACAGTAAACTGAAGCTCTAATCTGCGTTCTGCTTGTAACTGAATGAGTCAAGATCAGAAATAAAACGACGAGTCCACTTGATGTGAAGGTCCCATTTAGGATCAGGGAACTTCTCAATCGAAAGAAACTATAAATGGTCCTACATGGTCTCAATGAAGATGAGAAGGTAGAACGACCAAAACCGGGATATGGGCATGATGTACACAGTAATCACTGACACTGCCAAGAAAAGTACGACGCAGAGTTCCAATGCCACGTGACCCTATTACAATCAGGTCTGCACTTTCGTCTTCTGCCAGTTTACAAATCACTTCTCCAGGCCTTTTGCTCTCTTCCTTGTACATTTTGAACGTCAGCTACAAAAAGAGAAAAATCGATTATTAAACTCTTTGGTTATTCCTTATGCACAAACCTTTCACGTGAAACCCTGACTCGTCTCCATTCGCCTCTTACAGTTTCATAAGAGGTCAAGGACCAGTCGCAGGAGAGCGGTTCACGCTATCCTCGTTATATTTAAGACCGACAAAAGAGAGGTCTGGGGACGAGTCAGTCTGAGTGTGAAACCAATTTGAAAAGAGCTTAGTGTGATGCAGTACGATATCAACCTTTGAGTGAATGCACCTTGTTCCAAATCCTTCCAGTAGCTCCTTGACTTGTTTATCACTTTCTTCCATCAAATGCTGACATTCTTCGGGCGATGCCGCAGAGCCAGCTACAAGAATGTAAAGAAATTCAGCTGTTGGTGACGTTTCTAGAATGAGGGAGGGGATGGTCATGAAAATACAGTAGAACCCGGTAATGTATCGTTTAAATCGAAGCTTCAATCTGCCCCCCCCCCCCGGCATATCCCGGGCATTTGACACCTTTGCCGTCCCGGGGAGGAGGGAATTTGATTATCGGAGCCTTCCAGGGGATGGGGAATTTGATCCCCATGCTTTAGGGGTGGGGAATTTTAACTGCACCCTCGATTTCATGTAGAATCTTTGGCGTGGCGAGCTATGGGGGACGCGGTGTTAGAGGATTTTCGTGGAAAAGATTGTGCCTTTGTGGCCAATTGGTTACAAGGAAAGTGCTTAAACAAGCTAAGCTTAGTGACGTATTTGAAGTATTTAAATTTTACAATTTTTAATATTGGATTGAGACTTTGAATGTATGAATGTATTTTATTGTTGTATTTACAATGAAATACAATACCTATACCGGCGATTCAATTCAACAACATAAAATAAAATAAAATAAAAAGCCCAGATCAACTACTTCGACCTACTGCAAGTATGTTAATTAATAAGGTGAACGATGATGCATGTTAAAGCGAAACTTCTAGAACTTAGGGTTTTCTTTGTTTTTTTTTGTTAGCGTCTACTTGCAATTAGCTGTAATTGTTTATAGTTTTCTTTTGTTATATTCTTTACTTTCTTTTTGGTGTCACCATCGTTGCATAATGTTACGTAATCTGTCAAGTTTTTTGGTATAAACTTAGTCTTGTCGGTCAGTGTTTTTTACAGTTTTTATCGGTCAAGAACAGCTCATTCCTTTTAACGTTAAGTCAAGAAACCGTTAAGGTAAGTTTTAGTCATACGCCATTTGTACGCTTTTCCGTTTTCTTTGATGTATTTGTTATTTTGTACTGATTTCTACATTCTTTGTATTTTTGGTTGTACAATACCGTAGGAGTGTGATTTATAAAATAAAGTGGTTGGACACTAATACGCGTGACTTCGGTTACAATGCATGTCAGTGGAATGGTGATGATGTGGTTATCTCAATAGGTGGGATCTTTTTTATAGAACGCTTTGTATGTTGCATGACGAAGAAAAGCTGAGCATTCAGTGACCTTGTAGCAGCGATTTCCGCCGCTTTGCACGAGACGTTTGTTCGTAGTAAGTACGCTAACAGTGTTTCTCAGTTTTTATTATATTTATAAAGATTTTGTTCGACAACTGAAGGCGTTTCTGCCGCCCTTCTGTCATTTTTGTGCCTGTAAAATGTCCCCAGGGTGGGGGCATTTGATCACCTGAATGGACCCCAGTGTGGGGTATTTGAACGGCATTTTGGCCCGGGTAGGGGGAAATTTGAACAATAATTTTCAAAAAAGTCAAATGCCCGGGGTTTGCCCGGGGGGCGGGGGGGCATGTTGAAGCTTCAATTTACCAAGTGAATATTTATAGTTTACTTATATTTCAGCACTTCAGCATACAGCAGAGTGCAAATTGAACTTATCTCATCAGAAATTATATTGTAACACGTTTACGCATTTTTATGATAATTCAGGAAAATGATTGTCAAATACGTGATCTGTTCGTTGCATCTATTTAACAAATTGTGTAGTGTTAGTTTTCAGGGGCACCCAACGGGAAATTTTGAGAAAAAGACCTAAAAACAACAACAAAGCGTGAATAAAGTTTTCTGAGACTATTTTAAGCATTTTGGGAGATTGCTGGAAAAAAATTATCTGTTCCTCACTCCCAGCAAGACTGATGGAAGAGTTCCCAGCCAGCAACCTTACAACCTGCAACCTGACTTACTGGGAAGTTTCATAGGGCACAATTCAGATCTTGAGTGGTAAGTAACTCATACAAGTAACCCGTAGCAGCTATTCTAGACTTCAAATCCCCTCTGACACCCTGAATTATCTTTTCCCCAGCAACACTTTCCTTCCAAGGACTATTATTTCTTTCACATCTCCCAGCCAGCAAAAATGTGCCTGAAGAACAGATATTTTGAGGAACAGATCCATTGGGTGCCCCTGAGTTTTAGGTGTTAAAAGAAAAGTTATAGGGATAACAGTCGTGGTGAGTTGCAACAATCAGAATTCGATTTATCGGGGTAAATTTCAGTGAAATTTTGATCAAGGGAAACGAAATTTATTTCGAGTTAGCGGGGAATTCGAGTTATCCGAGTAAAAGTGACTGAAAAGTAAGGTGACTGAATCCAAGGGAAATTGTCCCCTTGGAGTAGAATTGAATTTTACACTTATTTTGCTGTTGCCTGCTGGAGCTCTGAAACCCAACTTCGAGTTTGTCCATTGCACCCCTTATAGTGGCAAAAAAATAACAATTTACAACTATAATGAGATTTTAATGATATTTGAAGCACTTACTGGGATAGAACCATCCAGAAATGATTGGGTATTTTTGAGCATGGATGATCATTACAAGGTCATTTTCTTTGGCAATATTTTTGACATACCCTGAAAACAAAACATAATATGAACTCAATTTCCTAGTACAAAATAAGCCACCATGCGAGTTCGTAATTTTGTCATTTGAATTAAGCTTATATACCTGTTAAGCATCCAAAAACAATGCAATATTGCGATCCATATTTCTTAGCACATAAGAAATTACTGTGATCGATGCACTATTTGAATAACATTTATTCTCAAATAAAAATAATGCTGACAGTCTCCTCCCCAGCCGGGAAATTGCCAAAACAATAATCTTTATATCTATTATTATCCATATTAGTCTCCCTATCAAAGCATTTATTTTGACACGATACCATTGCAGTGATCTACATCAGTGCTATTTTCATCCCCGAAGATCCTTACCCGAAGTAAAGAATATAAAACCATTTATAGCTATCGGGAGAATATATTAAGCTTTTATAAAAAAAACAATTCATATTAACACTACTGCACGAAAATTCACAGTGAGAAAGTTATGGTTCTCCGAAAGAGGTGCCAGAATAATTATCAGTTCTCTAGCAATCGCCACCGATCAACAATTCAAGTGACGGGAAAAAATTTCAATATTTTGTTCACCTTATAATTTCTAACCAGATCATTTTTATCGATAAAACTTGAGGGTGGGGATCACTGACAAAATCTGCTACAACTTTCAACAACAGGGTCCATACACTTTTCGCTTACAGTCAAATGCTCTTTCGCTGTCTTCACTAGCATCCACTCCCAAAACGACTTTTCTACCAAATTCTTTGTTCTCACCCATTGCTTCTTTTAACAGCTGCGTGTTGCGTAAACTTTGTGGCCAGTTTATGGAATGATGGCTTTATGTAGACGAGTAAATGGCGTGAAGCCAGAAAAAAAAGAATGGCAATTTAGCAAACAATTTGCCATGCGACACGTATCATGACCAGTTAGACAAAAGAATTTTTGGCCAGGGTCTGTTGACTTATTTACGTTCACAAAATCACAGGTGGGCCTCTGTATCCAGTTTTTTAACTTCGAAAGTGTTGTTTTCTGTCTTTCTTTAAAGTTTCAGCCCAATTTAAGCGACTTGCAACAAGTAACACGTTTTTGAAATTGAATAAATCACTATTCTCATTATTTTTTATTCATTGAGGAAGTTCACCTGTTTTAGTCTATTCATTTGTTCTAACTTTATTTCTCATTTTCTATGTAAAAATATATCACGGTTGAGCAGCCTATGGTAAAATTCAAGTATTGTGCTTCCTAGGGTTACCCAGGAGGGAGGCCAAAGTATTATCATGCCTAAATTATGCTCGCTTTGGGGATATTTTGCTCCTAATTTAATATGACAACTGACTTAAGTGACACTTTTTCCTCCCCTACGTATGAAAGTAACAGTTGTAAGCAGTCTTTGATATTACCTGTTATTTTTATGATGCAAATCCACATTACCGACCTGCTAGCGCTTAATTTGGAGGCGTGCCATAACGAGGAAACCAGAACTTTCACTATACCAAAATACATCGGGCATGAGTCTCTGTAAGAGTTCGTATGAAGAATTTGACTGTTCGCATTCTTTCCCAGACCGTCCAACGTTTTGACTGTAAAGAGTTGAGCTCATGAAATTCCATTAAGACTGATTTTATGAGGGCAGAGGGTGAAAGTCACTGTTGCGTTTTAAGAATCATGCCCTCTGACAAACTTTTGCAATCTTGATCCTCTTAGACTCTATTTTTTAGGGGATTTTCTACCCTTCTGAAACGAAAATGTCTGTAAAAATGTTCAGGAAATTGATCCGAATTTTTCGTTTTCTTTACACTGTTAATTATTATCCGTCATGGTCAAAAATTAGTCTTATTCTAGATGTTTTTTTTATTGTCTTAGTTAAGTAATATTAGTGTTGGGGTTATTATTAGACTTAATCATATCAGTTTTTATGTTTGGACAAACATGCCCTCCATGGAAACCAGCCTAGTGTTGTTGGGGCTAGTGTTTTTCTTTCAGTGTGACTCAGATCAATTAATACCTTAACATACCTACCTATTGCTTTGGGCTGGTTGTCTCATTAGAGACCTTTTGGATTTTCGGAAAGCTTCATTTTACACCTTGGAACAGAACAGTTGACACGCTTTTTTCATTGAGAGTTAATCCCTCTCCCGCGATGAAACTTCTCAGTAACATTTGATAACCTGTTTCTTTGTTATTTAGTTTGACACGGCAAAAGCAGGACGTTTTAACCCGGGGGTACTTCCTACAATATCATAGAAGGGGGGCTTTGCAAGAAATGGGTACCTTTTATAGGTTTCAGGTATATAAATGGCTCTGGCTAGGGATTTCACTTGTCATTTTGGTCGTTAAAAAGGCCTAAAAGGGCTAAGAGATGCATTTTATGGGTGTTAACGTCTGCTTTCATGATTTATTCATATTTTAAAGACAATGCATTTACAGCAGTTAAAAGGGATGCAAAGTTCTAAAAGGGTACCATTTGTCAATAAGGAATACCTTCTCTATCAAAAATGTTATATCAAAGAGTAAGGGGGTGGACCTCGGTACAGAGAATCCCCCGCTTAAAACTTTATTGAGTACCTACCACCTCCCTTCCCCGGGCGTTTGAATCACTGCTGTGTCAGAATAGTGTAGCGCGGTTGACCTTGTCGAACTTAATTGCTTCGCCGAACTAAATTCAAAACGTTGATTCAGACGGATATGCTTGCCTTCTACCGTGCTTTTGTCGAACTTTACAATTCAAGAATTGGGTTGGGCACGGTAGACGCACCTCGTATGAACTAAGACAACTAAGCCTTATTTTTCCTTTCCTTGGCCTTCAAGATATGCAAGAAAAACTTTAACAAAATGGCGTTGAGCAACTTGCAGACACGTCAAGAGAGGACTGGAAGTCAGAGCCGTCCGATGGAAAACTAGCCTCCCACGCAGGCGTTTTTAGGGGAGCTCGTTTTTCATGGGGAGGGATGAAAAAAGAGCTCCCCTAATAACGCCTGCGTGGGAAGCTAATGGAAAGCGTCATCGTCTGGACTTTTCTGTTGCCTTTGTTTGCTTTTGTTAGCGTGACGACTACCGGAAACGTACCCCGAACCTTACCTAGTCCCTGTACGGCGTTATCCCAGTCCCTCTCGATCAATCCACTTCGGTTTTGGCCGCGCGGAATAATGAGGCCTACGGACTAGGCAACCTCGAACCTAAGCTTTGGCAATAATTTTGCGTCCCGTCGTCGTTCAATTTTGCTAATATTTCTACAGGTCCTTATGAGTAAACCATTCCGGATCAGTCTACATGAAGTTTTACAGTCGTGGTTGATTAATACAGTCTATCATTTATTAGTGAAGAATAAATAGGGGAGGGGAGGGGGGAGGGAGGGGGGGCTTAATAGAGAGCTGGGGCTTATTAACTTTCATGCCCTGAAAAGGGTGGGCTTATTAAGGGGAGGGGGCTTATTTGAAAGGGGGGGGGTTAAACAGAGGATTTACGGTATAATGCCCCAAGCCACACCCGTGTATAATTTGAGTTTTATTTTGGAAAGGGGTACCCTGGGTGCCAGAGACTTTTCTAGCGCGGTTTCCGGTTTCTGCCAAGTCTTTATAGTGACCCGCACGAAAAGCTTTTCTCGCGGCTTCGCCGCTCGTGGCTTTGGCGCCAGAAAAACCACTGGTACCCAGGGTAGGAAAGGGGTAGCCTGCTACACAGCCGTTTTTAGTGACGTCGAGGGATGGTGATGCAAAACAGAAACTTTCATTAGATCTCCAGAGGATGGTATCTCTGATATGTTTTCAGAGTAGCGAGTACCATTCTAACTTGTTGAAATGAGCTTTATTGTAGAGCAATCGATCAGTGTGAAACGCAGACTGTAGACCATTGTTTTCACCATGTAAATGAGTATGTGACAACAATAATCCCACTGTTTTCTAACCCTAAAAACAATAGTCCACAGTCACTCACACAGTCTGCATTTTACACTGCACCATAGAGTAATATGTATAGCAATGACTGCATGTATCTGATGTTTAACGATGAACCAATAACAACAGTGGAACAGAAAGAAATATTAAACAATCACTGACAATGTGCCTGATTCTTTAATGATTGCCTGGACCTACAACAGGTTACAGAAATAAGAACAGGAACATGAAGAAGGAAACAAAAATTCTTCAAGTGTTAAACACGACACTCGATAGAATTCACAACACATGGTTTACAAGCCCATACCCTATTCATAGATCCCACTGAATTCATCAGTAGCTGCTGCTTCCAGAATCAAAATAAAATCTGCCTTCATATAGGCATATATTGAGCGGCACAGTTTAGGATAAAAGTATTTGGTCAGATTTTAAAAACTTTCAGACTTTTGAAAAGATAAAATCCTATAAAAATGATTAATACAATACTCAGGGGCACCCAACGAGAATATAGTTCAAAACCACTTAAACATAGAATTGTTAAACGTATTTTAGTATTTAAACGGTAGATACAGGCATATTTTTATCCCCTAAAAATTTTTCATCTGTTCGGATTTCCTAGCTGAAAGTCAAGTGATCCGAAAATTATAGAGATCAAAACTTACCTGTTCGAAAATTTTAGCCAGAAAAAAGGCTCCCGAAAATTCTAGGTGACCTTTTTAGGGTAAAAATCCGTTCAAAATAGGCAATTATACCATTTTTTAGGTGTCCGAAAATCCTAGGAGAGGCAGGCAAGCAAGAAATTTTACAAAAAAAATGTTCTGAAAATTCTAGATCTCAAATCGTCTTCCGAACAGATATTTTTCCGAAAATTGTCGTGGGGTGCCCCTGAATACTGAGCCTGAAAAAAACCTTTTAACCACGTCCCCAATGAATAACTCAGAGGCAGGAATCTTTACTAAAAAGGAGGTTCTGCCTGTCAATCCTGTCTTTCCTTCCACCCTTTAACATACACTTTCAGTTTGTACCATGTAACCTCTTGTTTCCACACCTGAACTGTACAAGGTTATTGCACAGTTTGGACAGTAAAAGCATGGAGTCTAGTTATGCACCTTTGATAAAAAAGCCATTCAAATGCTGACACTTTGGACTTGTGTTAACAGACTTTGCACAGTTCCCTGTATATGGGTTGCACAGGCAAAATCTGTCCTAGCCTGCGTAGCTGGCAGGATTAGCATGGGAGTGCTGTATTGTTATGGCGGCGGAGCCACAAGAAGAGTGGGTAAAAGTCAATTTGGATTTTCCTTCCAGCTTTGCCGCTCGTAAAAATCCCTCACTTCCCACTGCGCCTCTGCCACCCAGAAAGTACCCCGGGCACAAGAATCCCGCCAGCTAAGCAGGCTAAATCTGTCCGGATCTTAGAGATAAAATAAGCAGAGTCCCATATCATTATCAGGCTTTCTGTGGATCTGTCATAGTAATTCACTGCTCATAATAATGCAGGCAGGAAGGCACAAATGAATCTGACAGCAGCAACGACTAATGGCTGTAATTTTTAACTAATCAGTTCATTAACCCTTTAAGCACCAATGTCCACATACAAATTCTCTATACATTTCCTTACAGAAATAGTCAAGAGAAGTTGGTAAAAGATCAAAGCATTTTCCCTGTGACAGCTTTATTGATTCTCATAATCTCTTCTCTCCATTATGTATTAATATTATTAGGAGAAAATTGATGTTGGTCACTCTGGGACTTGAAGGTTTAATAGAATCTAAAGATGTTTACTGGTTTGACAATAAAAACAACACATTTTTTGTTATATTTGTTTGAATTCTATCACCATCAGTGTGATACCTGCAATTACCTTTTCACAACTCAACCTAGCTTGGTGTAATCACAATTTTCCATAAGTTCAAAAAGCAAATACCTAACAAGGTGGTAAGGTTATGTACAATTTCTTTGAAAGAAATCGTAAATAGTCATTAACTTGATTTGGTATGGTCTTCATGACGATTTGGAGGTGGAACAACCACAACCGGGATATGAGCATGATGCACACAGTAATCGCTAACGCTGCCAAGAAAAGTACGGCGCAAGGTTCCCATACCACGAGAACCCATTACAATCAGGTTCGCCTTTTCGTCTTCTGCCAGTTTACAAATCACTTCCCCAGGCCTGTTGCTTTCTTCCTTGTACAATTTGAACTCTTGCTAAAAAAAAAGAGAAAAAAAGTCAATTAAATCTCACTGTCAATGTACATGTGCTAACCGTTCATAAGAAACCACTTTCAAATACCTTTTCCGGTTCCTTTAAGCGTTTGCACTTTGTTCCAAAACACTCCAACAGTTCCTTGACTTGTTTATCACTTTTTTCCACCAAATTCTGCCATTCTTCATAATATGCATAGCCATCTGAAAGCATGTAAAATATGTTCAAATATTGGTTATACTTCCAGGGTAGGGGAAGTTGGACAGAAACACCAAAAACAGCATTATCAAGACAACAAATGAGACCTTGCATTTTGATATTAGGGCTTAAAGGCTCAACAAATGACAGTTAAATGGTTTTCTGGTTTGGTTACTTCTTCTACACAAAACATGGAATTTTCTGCCATTTTCTCTATCCCTATACAAAACCAACTGGGCTAATGCAACCTTCTCCCCATGTCTTCTTTGATGCCATCCCTTTTTCTTATGAAAGCGTGTTCTATTGAAAACATTTTACCAGTTATCACAACTGTCTTACAAAATTTAGTAACTGCTAGCTGATTATGAAATTGAAAAATATTTTGAAGGAATAAATAAATATATTTGCATTTGTCAGAATGCATCCTTATCTGGTGTTCCTGTCCCATAAAGGCAGAAATTTTCGAGCTCTCAGATGTGACTGCCGATTAGCCGCCCCTATTGATTTTATAATGGGCATCTCTGCCGGGAAACTGGACCCCTCTCGACTCAATTTTGTTTCTGTAAGTGACAAACACGAATCCATAATCAAGGATAACCTCTAGTTTTAAATACGCCATACCTAACTGTAATACGTGCAACATTAAGTTTCGCTAAATCGGGCAGGGATGTTCAAACCGTGTACAAATATGGGTCATGTTATTTGTTAAAAAAAAAACATGTTCCAGATTGCCACTGGCTACCNCCTTATCTGGTGTTCCTGTCCCATAAAGGCAGAAATTTTCGAGCTCTCAGATGTGACTGCCGATTAGCCGCCCCTATTGATTTTATAATGGGCATCTCTGCCGGGAAACTGGACCCCTCTCGACTCAATTTCGTTTCTGTAAGTGACAAACACGAATCCATAATCAAGGATAACCTCTAGTTTTAAATACGCCATACCTAACTGTAATACGTGCAACATTAAGTTTCCCTAAATCGGGCAGGGATGTTCAAACCGTGTACAAATATGGGTCATGTTATTTGTTAAAAAAAAAACATGTTCCAGATTGCCACTGGCTACCTGACAAAGACTTCAAGAGTTAGGAGGTTGAGCAAGTGAGGTTGGCTTGATATGGTGGGATTGGGGGAAACTATTGGGTCCATTTTTTCAGTTTTCTCAGTTGGGTGAGCACCTGGTCATCCGCTGTAGATGCCACTATTTTCAGCTTTTTTTTCTTAGGTTCTTTTACGCTTTATGAAATACTTACAGGGGTAAGGTGCAGCAGGAATAGTTGGGTATTCTTGAGCATGGATAACCAATATTTTGTCAGTTTCTTTGTATATATTCTTGACATACCCTAAAAACAAAATATGCACGTTTGCAATTCAATGTAAGCATGTATAAGCCAATCCTATTCATCATTATGTCACATGATTAAGCCACATCTACAAGAATTTTCCTCATAAATATTTTTAATTAAGTTTATTTGCATGTTAAACATCAACAAACACTACCATTCTAATCGATGATTCAGAATTAAAACTAAAAGCCTCCTATGGTAGATACACCACTTCAACAACATTTGGGCTTAAAATTTATTTATTCGTAACCCCCTGCTGCACAAGCCTTAATTAAGTTTTTCCCTGGACCCGTGAAAGCGTGTTCGTTGACACGACTTTTATGCAATGGTCTACATTAGCGGTTTTTTTATCTCCCAAGTTCTGGACCCAAATGGAAACATAAAACAATACCTGCAAGGAAAAGAATTGGGTTTACTTTCATTGAAGTTTGTCACAAACGCCATTGCACGAAAATTCACACAAAGCCGCTGAAGTAGGAGCAGCCATAATTTTAGCTCATTGACATGTACAATCGCCATTCAATGATTGAATTTACAAGGAAAATAAATTTCGACATTTTCTGTTTAGAGTATTGCTAAATCTTGCCACCTTAAACTGGATTTTACGTTTATAGGATCGAGGAATCGAGGGTGGGTGGTCACCTTGTAAACGGAAAATGGATGCAGCTATTTTAACACTTTTCACTTACAATCAAATGCTCTTTCGCTGTGTTCACTAGCATCCACTCCCAAAACGACTGTCCTACCGGCTTGTTCGCACTCAGCCATTGCTTGTTTTAAAAGGTCTGTGCTTCGTAAAGATTCGTGCGCGATGGCTTTCTGCGACAGCGACTGAACGAAGGCGCGATAAAAGCCAGGGTGAAGAGCGACACCTCAGCAAACAACTGGCCAATGAACGCACAGTTTTTCTTTAGTAGCTATGTGACATGTCACGCGACCAGCTGGACAAGAAGCCCCAGCAGGGACGGGAGTGGGGGTACTACAGACAGGTTGCAGCGACTGCGACAGATCACTCCGTGTTTGAGTCCATGTACAGATCCGGCGACAATTGCAAGTTGCCGCAAAATGTTGCGGCGACACGTCGCAGCAACAAATCGCTTCGAGCGTAAATTTTGTGAAAATCTTTGTCTTTGCAACAGAATTTTGTCGCCGCGACAAGTGGCACAAAATTCTGTCTGATTTGATTTTTTGCAAAATGTTGCTGCGACAAAATTCTGTTGCAGAGACAATGCTTTTCAAAAAATTCTCTAGTACACACGAAACGATTTGTCGCTGCGACGTGTCGTGTTGCAGCAACTTGTCGCCTAGTATGTATCGACCTTAAAGTTACAGCAAGAGCCATATAAATGGCTCTTGGTTACACGGATGACGAGGGATATTTTGTGGATTTGAAATTTTCCATGGGAACTGGTTTTGGGTAGAAAAAATTTGTAAGTATTTTTTAGGGTACGTCTACATTTGACAAAGTAAGTGAGTTGGAATAATTTGAGAAAACCGGAAATCATTTTCAAAGCGACATTTTTGCTTCCGTTTCCGTCTTAAGGTCCCTAACAAGGCCTCGCCCGCACGTATAAAAAATACGTGTCCAAACGTAGCGTGTTCGAATCGTTTTTGCCCGTCCACGCGAAAACGCAACTGAAACAATGAAAGCTAATGAAATTTTACAGGGCAATGAGGGTGTACAGTGTGTGATGACTGTGATGCTTACGATGATGTATGACATCATCGTAATCGTAATAGCCTGTGAACAGGCCTTTGGTCGAGCGGGGAACCGTAGGGAGAGTGTTACAGCGAAGCGACGATCATGTTCTTTACTATCAAATCAAACGTGTCGCTAACTGATCGGGGATATTTAAATACGGAGAACAAAAACTTGCAGGCGATGAAATGGTGTGATGTAATCAACTTGATTTATTTCTTGCCAGCGATCAATGATTCTCGTAAACTAAAAAACAAATACAGCTAAATGAACTAACTTATAGGGGAAATCAAAATATAAACGAGTAGCGATCGAAACAAAAGACGATAAAACATAATTGTGTACGAAAGGCTTAATGACAAAGTACAAGCTTGTGCATTTTGGGGGCGGAACCCCGCACATGAAGAATCTTATTGTTGCATGGAAAACACTTAACAAACATCTGTTAATCTAAATAAAATGCTTTATATATTGACTTTCGATGAAGATAAAATTAGTAGAAAGGTAACTGAAATATCCATACTGTAGTAAATAACGAAATATGCGAAATTGTTACGAAATGTACACATGTATGCCCACGAGGGGACAAATAAAGTACTAAATCAATAACCTGAAGACTAAATCAACAAAAATATCTACGAAAGGAAACGAAAATGATTACTTACATATCTGACCCACACAGTAAACGTCCAAATAACGAAACGAAACTAAATGACACAAAAACTTATTCTTCTACTGTATTATGCGAGAAACGTGCAATCGACTGAAATAAGAGCTATCCAGGGGGAGTATTAGAAACAAAGCAATGACGTAAATGAGACACTGGAAATGAAATGAAACTAAAAATAATGAAAACTAAATGAGAAACTTAACAGAGAGGGACAAGCGAACTCTTCCCCCTTTCCCTTCCCTTTCCTTGCTTTTTTTTTCCACAAACAGAGAGCCTGTTCACAGGCTATAATCGTATCTTTTCGTTACTCTAAGCCAAACGATACCCCTGCAATTCATGCGTTTGCCACTCAGATCGGATTCATCGTAACTTGCAATTATATCCATTATCATTGAAAATATTGCGTAATACTCTCCCTTTTTAGGACTGAAAAATTGTGAAATAAAGTCTGAAACATTTCTTTTCTGATCCCTACTCGTCGACTAGAAGCTGCGTCACAATTTACTAGACAAAGCTACATTCATTTTAAGGATGTCTAGAACTTCTGTTAAATGCAGCGAAGGGGTAAGGTACCTAACTGCTAAAATCATTTGCATTGATAGTTTATTTTATTAAATTCGAATCTCTGATTGATCTGATTTTTCGTTCTTTACAATTATTCTTTTTGTATACTGGCAAATCTTTTCACTCTCTTCCCTTACTTAAAAAGGAGTATATGAAACTTAAGTCGGTTTTGCAAAACAACCTAAGAAATCGAAGCCTGCATTTAGCAGAAAGATATCAACATAAACTTTAGCACCATCGTTTTCCTCTTTGATTTCTGCCAGGTTTTGTAAGCAGTCTCCTCAACTACTACTCTGTAATGTTGCAAACGGTTTGATCAGCAAATGGATTCATGCAAAACGTTAAAAAGAGACTGAACTCCACAATAGCTAATCAACGTTGATTTCCACAACACCAAGAAAAAGCCAGTTCCCCTTGTTCTTTGTAAAACTACAATTTACTTGCAAAATGGTACCAGATTGTCCACGTTAGCAACAGAATAGTATCGTACAATCACCTTCACGAAACAGCGAAATAGTATTAGCTTGAACGAGCATGGTCACCATGGCGATTTGGAGGCGGGACTATTGCCACCGGAATATGGGTATGGTGTACGCAGTAATCACTAACACTTCCTAGGAGTGTGCGACGTAACGTTCCCATACCACGTGACCCCATTACAATAAGGTTTGCGTTGACATCTTTGGCCAATTTACAGATCACTTCTCCAGGCTTAGTGTTTTCTTCACTGTATGTCTCGAACTTCACCTGCAAAAGAGTTACAATCGTTTTTCATTTTAGCTTTATCACCATCCTTATTAAACATAATTTAGCAAAATAGCAGAAGCGTTTTTCTAGCCTGTGAGCGGAGATTCTTTTTTTGTTACTTGTTGTTTTTGACAACAGTTTATCTGTCAGACATACTTCGCACAATTGGGACTGAAAGGCGCTGTAAACGTTTTGATTTTTCTTGTTACAATGCTTTTCTTGATTTCCAGCGCAACCTCGTTCCCAGATCTTTTCTCTTACAGATTGCCCCTCTCAATATCTGAATAAAATAACCAAATTATGCACTGAAGCTCACTTAAAGGAGTGCTTTGCACTCGCCTCGGCAGTAAAGGGTCTTTGATACTCGGGTTGGATGTGCGCATGCGTAAGGTACCGGCCATACCGAGGAGTTGGTACGTGTGCTTCAGTTCATAATTTGATTGTTTCTGAATGAAACACCCTGGGTACGAATATAAGATGTTTCTTGAGTTATATGTTTTTGCCGGAAAGTTGCACCAACCAAAGAGACCCGTTAACATAATTTGACTCAAGCAAATTCAAAATTTGACACATACTCCATGAAGTTCGCATTTTGTTCCAAAAGCATCTAAAAGCTTCTTCGTCTGTCTGTCTTTTTTGCCCACCTCTTTCAAATAGACATCATAGAATGTAGAACCATCATCATCTAAAGGAACAGAAATAAAAGAATTAAATTCCCTCAAGCACAGAAATCCCTTTAAACCAGTCGTGCTGAACTGGGTGCACAAACATTCTCCTCAAGGCATGAAACATGCCCCACTTACTCTATCAAACTAATTATCAGACAGCTGACAGTTTTGGTTTTTGATAGCGCCAGAAATCTATGCTATTTTTCTTTGTTCGCATTTCTTTGCTTGAAGATTTTAGTCGTTTACTGTTCGTGTGTCTTTGCTCCTTTGCGTTAAGTGTTTTAGCATATCGTATACAGCTTGGATTGCAATTTTTTCTTTAACGCTACCATTGTTCAGTTTAATATGTATGTTTTTTGCCAGGTGTTTCGTTCCTGAATAGCTGCAATGCACACCTTTTTTTTTATTACTCTGGGTCTTCTTGGAGAAATAGAGCTGTTCAGTTTCCGGTTTCACGCATGGACGGTCATTTCTCCACACACGCGTATGACTTTTTTCGCAGGGAGACGAAGTGATCAGTGGACTAAGTATTGACGCTTGTGTTGGAAGAAAGATAGGAATATGGCGGTGAAATAGTTAAAAAACCTTCCATTTATATCAAAGAAGAAATGAGCACTCACAGCGATTAGAATGAAACAACTCTTCAACGATCTCTGCGAAAACGATCATGGGATGAAACAACGCTGACAGATCGTTGAGTAAAAAAAAAAGACCACCGAGAGCAATTTATTACCATTTTATAAACAATTAGCCTCGTTAAACTGAAAAAAAAAAAGAAAAAGCAAAAGGTCTCTCATCCACCCTAGGGTTTTCGAATTATATTCATTAACTTTTATTTATCCATTTTCCTCTTCGTTTGATTAACTTGACTCGGATTAGAATTACTTACAAGGGCCTGCTGAAGCTGGAATGGTGGGCTCTTCTTGAGAATGGACTAAAATCACGTCATCTCTTTCCTTGTCGCATAAATTTTTGATATACCCTGTAAAAAATGAAGTCGGAATCAAAGTGGAAGACAAGCCACTACAGGCCTGTCGAAAAGGGGACGAATCGACCTAGGATAGTTACCATTCTTGTAGCCTGCGAGCAAGATCTCCACTTTAGGGATATCGTAAAAAGTACACGCGCGAGAGGCACGCGAGAAGAGACGCGAAAGCACGTTCTCGCGCGGCTCGCTTCACTCGCCCAAATAAGAGAGCCTGCTCGCAGGCTACCATTCTTGTCTCAAGAGCCCTTGGCTTTTTTAAGGAACCTAGGGGATCTCGTAAAGGGAGTAACGAAAACATTAGACTTATTTATATTAATTAACTACATACTGTATACATCCATGCCCTTGGTAAATGAGATCCCACAAAAAAAAAAAGAAGTATCGCCTAAGACTTTGAGATGCTTGTTAAATATCCTGGATTACTTCAAATGGCTTTTTCTCAAGTACCCAACTTAAGTTTACGGTCCATTACGCTTTCATAGGAAGACACCTTAATTCTAATTACTTTTGTAGTTAAATGCATGAATAAAAAAACTGAAAACAAAATACTCGACAGTGAAAATTCATAAAATCGGTGCGCAATTCTTTGAAGTAAACTGTTTAATCCCTAATGAAAGATATGTTTCAAGAACACGGTTGCCATATTTTGTTTTCGTGAGGTTGAGATCAAAAATTAAAATCCGTGCCCACATATTAATCATAAAAGCTTTCTAAAGAGCTTTAAAAATAATATCAAGAACTGAATATTGACGTTGCCAAGCCACAACTTTCAATAATTGCAATCAGATTAACTATACTAATTCGCAGGTGCTATAGCAACTGATTTAAATCGATTTTTTATACCTAAAATTCCCTTGAAGCAATTATTAAAACACCATAAGATTTTACCTGGTTTGGTTGACTCTGTGGCAATAATTGCCAAAGTGATTCTTAAACTAAGGGGAGATTTTTCTATGTTATTGATCTTATTGTTAATATCTTGGACACATTTCTTGGACCTTACCGCAAAATTTATGTCTTTTTCAGGATTTCAGATTCAAAATCAAGCTAATTATTTGCCCAACAATTCCTCCTTTTTTTCATTTTCTTACTGACCACAATAGAAGATTTACTCAAGTTGGGTACTTCATCGCTCTTCTGTGTACTGATAACGCAGTGAAGCGCGGTTTTCCGTCAGTTTACTTGTGCAATGGTTGATGGGTTCTTAACCATTCAGAACGCGCGTAGTATTCCGCATAATTCATAATTAAGTATTCAACCGTTTTGACCAGTTGTCGCCAAAAGGTTTAAGACCCCATATAAGGAAAACCACCCGTAAGATGAAAGGAGTGATGGAAATTTATAATATAAACAGCATAGGAGGTATTAAATATTAAAGAACGCAAAGAGTGATTCCAATAACAGAAGAAATTGAAATATTACAACTAGCATACAGAGCCGTATAAAAGATGAGAGTTAAACAATGTCTTTTCAATAAAGCGGTCGTTTCTTATGACATTTTTTTAAAAACTTCTTTACATTTTCAAGATCAACAAACGGTCTTATCTCTTGTAGTACCAAATCAAAGCTAAAACTCCCAAAGTTTGTATACATCACTCAGGTAGTGGTGCCGGTTTGCCTCAAAATAAGATCTTGAATACATGTACAGTTATTCCTTGCTTATTCTGTAATCAGCGTCTCGACGCCACAAAAAAAGTAATCTTCTCGGAAATCATCAAAATTGTAAACTTAAAGCCTATTTTGAAAATAAAATGGTTATTTATTGAGAAGAAGCTAATTAAAATAACTCGTTAGTTAGATCTGTTTACTTACAGTTTAAGGCTCTCTCGCTGTGTTCACTAGCATCTACGCCTAAAAGTATCGTCCTACGGGAATTTTTATGCTGAGCCATTTCAGTTTTTTTTTCCAGAAATGAGCTTTGTCAACGTGATCACTATTGTAAAATAGGAACAGAATTAAGTCACGAACTGCACCAGACGTTGAATTAAAAACCCAATATTTTGATCAGACTGGCCAATCACAAGCCTTCTAGATCTTTTTGTGGTTTACCAATGTGACGGGTCACGCGATTTAATTCTTTTTGCAGAAAATGTCACCAACACTAGAATTCCATGACATTTCCTTTCGATTAAACGTTCCAGAAAGAGAGGAAGAGGGAATTTGACTTTACGTTTTTCCGCGTATATTGAAAATATACACACCCCGGAAAGCTTCATTTTACCATTTTTCACCCGAAAAGTTAGCACTGTTAACTTTAGTGGAGGAGGCTACACCCTCTCCCGATCGCAAAATGATAAAACTTCCAACATTTGATAAGTTGTCTCCCAACCTCGTCTCCAGGGAAAAGCGCTCTGGGGACGAGGTTGCTTGTTTCCGTGACTTCGACATTCTTGCTAAAATTCGTAGTAGAGTGACGACGGCTATCACGTTTTCCCGCCAAAATGACGCTGGTTCACACGCGAGCACCACTTAGTACTGATGAAGAAAATCTCGTACTCGTTGTCGTACTCGTCTTAGAATCTAAGGGTTTCTATTATCAAAGTGTGGGCGCTTAATTGAGAAACTGGGTGGCAACAATGGGCTGCATTTGGCTAGCCACAATGGAGAGATTTAGAATCACGTTTACGACAAACGGCGAACGTTAATCTGTTTTTCCCTTTATTTGTCGCTTCCATTGTTTGTTTTTCCTCGAGAAGAGACTCTGCTTACGTCTTTCTGTGGTAAAATAAGCCTTATATAATTAGCAAGAGCGTACCCAGGGCTGACGACAATAGACCTTGTCACGGTTTTCGACGCCATCTTGACGAGTAGGCAAACGTGTGAGAAATTGCAGTGTTTGTATGAGAATCTAATGTCGAATGTCCGTAAAACGGCTGTTCTGAAAAAATATCAAATGTAAACTGAAGCTACAAAGCAAAGGATTGTCCTAAAAAATTTGGGGGGCGTACCTGTGCTTAGATTTCTCCAGAGGCTTGCTTTAGATTTTCCATATATTTGTCTGTAATTTTCCCGGGACTTTCTTACAGACAAATGTATTGAAAATTTTAAAAAGTGGTTTTAGGTCTTCTAGTGCATGTAACGCCCTCAATTTTTTTTTTTTCAGTAGAATTCTTAGGAGTGAAGCTTTAGTTTTCAAATCATTTTTTGTAAGAACAGCCGTTCTATACGGAAATTATTCGATATTAGATTCTCATACAAAGACTGTCATTTTTCACGCGTTTGCCTACTCGTCAAGGTGGCGTCGAAAACCGTGACAAGGTTTATCAGGTCTTTGCTTATAACTATCGTTATGATTCAAGAGCTCAGTGGGATGACAGTAGCCTCAAAAATAATCTTCCTCTCTCGACTCCTCAGCCCTGCGCGTTTCTCGCATCAGTTTTCAAGATCTTGAAGCCTGGAAATCGCAAAGGTGACCGCTACTGAGATTCATGGATGGGGAGCGTGAAGCTTAGGAACTAAAGAGACTGTGTGAAGCTGGCGTTTTTTATATATTCAATGAGATGTGTCACTGATGGGTAGGGACTGGAATGTGCCAACCTCTTCCACACGCGCTTTGGGGGTGTGAAATTCTATCGTTTTGGAACATTTTAGTGTGGACAGTCGAAAACGCATCGAAACAGTACATTTAGTCCGGATGCGAATCGATCGAAGTATTTTCGATCTTTTATCGATGCATTTTCGATGAGATCGAAAACGAATACTTTTGAAAACGACAGGGCCTAGGGGCCGAAGAGGAACATGAGATTCCGTACATTGATCTTCAAGTCCAAGCGCACTTTGTAAATGCCACGTACAAAAACTACCAAACACTAGCGTTCATCCAAACGCAAGAAGATACATATTTAATGAGGCTAATAAATACATCATTTTCATTTTTGCAACCCGTCACCTTATCTCACATTCTGTTCCAAGTCCCTTTATAAGAACATGTAGTTAACTAAACCTACAAGGACGTCAAGTTCTCTTTTACAGATTTTTACAGTCTCTACGTAAATCGACGTTGCTATTATGATGCTGGCTTTCAGTGTCACGACATAAAAAGTGAAAATCAAAACCGCTCAATAGTCAAGAATCTGGGAAACAAAAGGAGGTGAGTATGCAAAGACCCTGTTCAAGATTCAGGTCAGTGCGATTTTTCATATGCGAGATATTCGAAGAATTGATTTGCCCAAATTTAAAGAGCTTTATATGGAGACGCTATGTTGGTGCCGGAAACCAACAGCGAGTTCAGCGAGTTTTTCTACGAAAGCGCGCATTCATCTCTCGAGGAACTAATAAGCATTTCAAAAAAGTAATACTATTTATTATACTAGATATAACCTACACGACAGCTCTCTCGGTCGCCGTGTAAGAAAGGCGTGACACAACAGCTTAGAAATTCAGACGCACTCCATCACACAAACAATAGCTAAAAGAAGAAAACTTTTGAAGTAAAATTTGTGTAGATATTAGTTTTTACTGGCACATCATCAAAGTAAAAACTCAGGAAGATCGTTAATTCTTTGGTTTGATTTTGATGACATTATCTGCAAACCAGCTATATGAGTTTTTAGTACTTTGTGTAACCCTCATTGACCACAGCCTTCGACTGGAGGTGGAACGACCGCCACAGGAACGAGGGAATGGTGCACGCAATAATCGCTAACGCTGCCGAGAAACGTGCGACGTATTGTTCCCATACCACGACTACCCGTCACAATAAGCTGAGCTTTGCTATCCGCAGCTAACTGACATATTACTTCTCCAGGTGTACTGTGTTCTTTCTTGTACAACTCGAACTTAATCTGAAAAATAAAGAAAACTGTTTCACAGCAATTCTGGTCAAGCATTTGGATAAATTGATCGGTCATTTTGCTTCAGCAGGAGCCTATCACCCTCCAGGCTTGAGACTGTGTCTGTGTCGTCTGAATTATACTATGGGACTGTTTTGGAAGACGAATGCTGACTCAGTCAACTGCGACGGCAAACGGCAAACGTGTATTTGTACCACGTGACCAAGTTTCCCTTTACTTGTCGTTTACTGTTCATTAAAATTACATGAAATTCGGTAGATTCACGCCAAACGATAATACTAAACACTTCATTTTTGGGCTTTGTAAAATGAAACAGTTAAATCTTAGGTATTTTAACAGTAACAGTAAAAAAATACTTGAAACGGTAAATTTTTTTTCATAAAAAAGCAAAAACGGCTCCAAAAAGGCCAATATTATTTTGTTTAGTATATCAAGGAGTTTTCGGCCATTTTACGACAATTCGGGGTTATGTCAGAAAATTACCGAAGGCTACCGACGATTCCCGAAAACTGTCGAAGATTTCCGAGGACTAACGACAAGGTCCGACTATTACTGAACCGAAGATGTCAAAGGAACCCTCCAAACAATTAACAGTATTTTCTTCGGAAACAGTAAACATTAAAAAATTGGCCAATTTGATAGCAAACACTAAAAATTATGAGCAAACACTTAACACTAGACCCCATTCAGACCCTCAGACTGGGGTTTTGTTAAAGGCGGTGCCCATATCACTGTCACACCGCCAGACAATTGACGATTATCATCTCCAAACTAGTCCAAGAGTGCAATTCGTCCAAACATCGACCCAATCGTAAACTGAACTTCAAAGTGGCTGAATCAGAATCACAAACCTTTTGTTGTTTACATTTCTTTCCGTAGGATTCCAAAAGTTCCTTCACCTCTCTGTCACTTTTGTCCTTAATACTTTGCCAATTCTCAAAAGTCAAATAAGACCCATCTAAAAAGAGAGGAAAAAAAATTAACAGCAAGTGCTTGTCAAGTTTTCGTCTTGAATTATTCCCTTGTTTTCAGTGTTGCTGTATGGTAATGGTCAAAAAAAAAAATGCCTGATCCAAGCACAGATTGGTTTTCGTTTCGAGGTCTATTTCCAGTCTTCCAAAGGGCATTCTCTTCCCTTCTATACGGGAGTCTCCACTCGGAATTTTGAATGCAGATGTTGCGTGTTGTCTTAGCCTGGATAATTCATGGCAATCGTGTTCGTTCAGAATTTAAAGAAGTTCGGGTCAGTAATTATTTTATAAAGTCGCCGGACTCGTTCCCAGTCGTCTCCCTGACGCGCATGGCAGGAAATTAAGGGTGTTTAGATTTACAAACAGTTTCCCAACCCGATTGGAAAGTAAGTGAAACACGACTTTTTGGGTCGTTTCAGTGGAAAATTTCCGCAAGAAACGGAACGTCTTAATAGGTAGGGAATTCGTGTTCCAATTCTTCAAAGCCATCTCTCATACCAATTTCAGGCCTTCGCGGCCATTTTTCGGTAAATGGATATAATTTGTGCAAATGTTAAACGCGATTCCAGGACAAAATTTACCAGTCCTGAATTTTACTTACCATTTGCCCAAACCGTGAACCGACTGGTTTGCCCATGTAAATGGTAAACAACCAGGAGCCATAATCGGTGTACCCCGACTATGGCTCCTGAAACAACTAATGTTTCCTCCTTAGGCTCATGAGGCCCAACCTCGTCCCCAGGGCTTCCCCCCTCCCATTTTTTCTAGGGAAAAGCCCTGGGAGGAGGTTGCATCAGGCCCTGCACGCCATTGCGAGAGGTTCATCGGAGACGCCTGGGTACGAGTTAGACTATTTTGAATGTACTTACGAGGATACGTGTCATTTGGATTGATTGGATATTCTTGAGCATGTACAAACATGACATGGTCTCTTTCCTTGTCACATAGGTGATTGATATACCCTGAAATTAGATCAAAGTTGAAGAAAAAAAGTGTACTATCGTGCCGTCAAATTTAAATTTCCCCTATTACACATTAGGGCCATTTATACGAGGAAACATAAGACGCGAACTTTCGGTATAAATGGCACATTTCGTCTAAAATAAGACGCGACTTAGCTAAGACGCGTCTTATTTTAGAACAGCCCTTAACACCTGTTCTTAGATAAGACGCGTCTTATCTAAGACGAGAAAAACTTCGTATAAATGACCTTCGCGTCTTAAATAAGACGCGAACGCATAGTATGCATGCGTTAATTTTTAACGCGCCACGTTGGATTGCCGTTGCTACGGGCAACATTCACATGAAAACGAGTCAAGAGCAGAAATAAGACGCAAACCATTTATACGAGCTGTTCTCGTCTTAGATAAGACATGCTCGTATAAATGGTACAGTTCGCGTCTTACTTAAGACGCGTCTTATTTTTCCTCGTATAAATGGCCCTACTATTTCTTCCTTTCATCTCAGTTTGTTCACATGAAAGGGGTACTTTTTCTCACTGATCTTGTATAATTTCATCAGGCTGATGGTGTCTTTGTTTGAAGTCTTCCCGCCCCAATAGTTTACTGCCTCCAAGGCAATAATCATGTAACGAACAGTCTTCTGCCAGCATTTGAGGAAAACGAAATAAATTGTAGAATGTTGCTGAAGAAAATTAAAATTAGATTTCCATATTTTCCCAATGTTAGTACTGCTTAGAAACTTAAGATGCACGACGTATCCTAAAAGTTTATAGTGGTTTTAATACAATACTCATAACATATAGAATTGCTTGCATGCTAATGGTTTCGCTTTTACGCTTTTCTATCGTAGCTCATTCTCTCTTTGCTTCTCTCAATTGACTCCTGTAAGATTTTTTTGAAAACCATGAAAGGTGTGAATGATCTTTGCCCAGTAATCATCATCATCATCGATCGTAATTATGTCAGTTTGAGTCTTTGCAAAATTATTTCAAGGAAGCAAAAAGACCAGTGTCCCTTTCGAGGGCATCAAAGTAAGTTAACATCTGTCCCCCACGTGAAGCCCGTCTTCACCTTAGTCACATGGGATCCCAAATAGAATTTACACCTTGACCAAACAGAACAATCACACATACCCAAAGTCACACGTAGTATCACTTAAATACCCATGTGGCACGAAATTTTTGAGGGTTATGATTTTTGTGATTTTCTCACTGATCCGCAAAAATTTTCCCCTCAAAAGTTTACCCCAGAGTATAAAATATTCTCTAACTTAAATTCGCTGCAGTACTAAAACATGGTGTCTGTTCAATTACAAGTGTCTCTTTCGTTCAGGAACAAAGCGGTATACAATGAAATACTCCAGAATACTCGTTTTACGTAGTATAGGGTGCGTACACTGTAGTATTGTTTAAAAATATGTATTTCTATTGCAAGTACAAAAAAAATCAAAAATTAATTCCCAACGAGAAAAACGTATCTGTCGAAATCCCAAAAATTAGTTCCGCAAAACACAAAAAATCGCCAATCCGCAAAACGAAACTCTTGCAAAAATTTCGTGCCACACTGTACCGTACAATTCTTTGAGGTGAGGGAATACTTTTGTAAGTTTTAAAATGTTTCAGAGGCCATATAAAGGGCTAGGCTGTAAAATGAACTATTCTTCTGTGAGTATTTAAAGAGAATTATTACAGATTAGTGTAGACTAAACTTTAAAAACAGAACGTTTTCTTCAGTCTACTTACAGTCAAAAGCTCTCTCACTGTGTTCACTCGCATCCACCCCAAACACAATTTTTCTGTCGGTTGTTTCACTTTCTGTCATTGTTTAATTTCTTGCTTCAACAACGACACCACAAACAAGAAAGTTAAGTAACGGATGGCGAGGAGAATGGAAGATTGATCAATAAACAACTACATATCATTAAGTAACGCTATCGCGAGAATGTCACGAGGGGTCACGGGTATTTCGCGCATTGGCAAGTCTTTTTCACGACGTCAGTTTTCTCTGGCACGATTTTTTTTTCGACACGACTTTTTTTCGCAAAAACTTTTTTTTTGGCACGATTGTTTTTTGTTTTTTTTTCGGCATGACTTTTTTTTTGGTACGATTTTTTTTTTCGATAGACGTCACAAGTTTTTACAAAAATATACCACAGAACGAGGGCATTGATTTGTCTGTAAAGCATACGAGAACTTCTGCAAAGACAACCCTCCTATTCCTACACATTACCTGCGGGAAATGCTTAGAATAATCCTCAAAGAAAATTCTTTCCAGTTCAATGGAAAGCACTACCTATAAACCCATGGTACTACAATGGGCACAAACACAGCAGTTTATTTTGCCAATATTTTTATGGCACATATTGAAACAACAATTCTAAGCAAAATCGTTTTTACACCTACAGTTTGGAAACGCTACATTGACGATATCTTTTCCCTAAGGGACATAAGTAAACCAGACATCGAAGCCTTCATAGAACAAGCAAACTTACGTCACCCAACTATCAAACTCACGGCCCGGGACTCACGGCCGAAATATCTGACACTGAGACTGTGTTTTTAGACACGGTTGTATACAAAGGCACAAGATTCAAGGAAAAGACTATCCTTGATGTAAAGACGCATTTTTTAAAAAAGGAAACCTTCCAGTAAACACATTTCACCTCTTGTCACCCGCCGAGTGTTCAGGATTTGTCAAAGGGGAAGCCTCGAGAATCCTACGAACAAACTCCTCAAAAACTACGTTTGAGTCGATTTGAGGATAATATTTCAAATTTCAAAAAACGCTTGATTGACAGAGGCTACCCACAAACCATGATAGAAAACCTTCTATCAGATATAAAGTTCACAGAGAGGGAGTCTGCACTCCTGAAACACAACAACAAAGAGGAAAAAGAAATATTGCCTTTCGTGACACAGTACCAGCACTCAGTGTCTACATTAAAAGAAGTTTTAATGAAAAAATGGAATCTAATACAAAACCAACCGTTACTTCGCCAAATTTTTAAAGAACCACCTATTATTTCCTACAAAAAAGGAAAATCCCTAAAGGACATGCTCGTTAGAGCTACAATATAAAAGGTTAACAACACAAGGTTTCACGCCGGTATAGATGTGTGGCAGCCTAGTCCCTAATCACGTGTTTTCGTTTTGGAGAAATCTGGTCGCCCACGAACTTTTCGCTTGCTCGACGATTCTAAATGATTTCTGATGTTGTCTCTGGTTGTTATTCTGAGAGTTGGTTAACCAGTGCGAACTTAATTATGGCAAACATATTCGAGAAGACTCTATTAAACAAATAGACAGGAAATTACGTTGCCAAGCACCAGCATGAAGCAATTACACTATGCTCACACACAAAACCGGATAGATGCTGCGCGGACACGTAAAGCATACCGGATGGGGCTTCTGTTCACACCAGGCAAAAAAAAAGGTGATTTGGGCGCCATTTTGGTAACGAAGCGAAGCTGCGCCGCGCTGAACTCGAAAGCGGAGCGTCATATATAGGATATGTACTGTGCCTCACTTTGGTGTAGTGTGATCAGGCATTCGGACCGTAACGGAAATGAATAATTAGAAAAGAGGACTGAACCCCACTGAGTCGAAAGTAATTATTCAGGAATGAGGACTGGCATTTAGCTCACAAACCCTCTCGGACAACTTAGTGTGAACAAAGCCTATAGAGAGCTTAAGATTTCTTACATTAGTTCCAAGTTTAAACATGCCTGAACGGCTGAACCCGCAAAGCAAATCATGTCAGTCCAATTGACTACCCAAATGGGCAAGCGGATTCATCTTGTCCATTAGGGATTTCCTGCACAGTTCCTTTAAGACAAAGTTATCCTTTTCCTTTATTGACCAAGCTTGTCAAGTCAAGCCTCGTTCTTTTTTTTTTTTTACGTAAAAAGGAACGAGGCCAATGTCCAGTCATCCTGGTCACCTTGGTCAGTAACGTAAAATAAAGAACCCACCTGTAAAACGAGTCAGCGGTGACCTCTAAATCTGCCTTCGCAGAGGATAGGCCATGTTTTCTGAGATTTGGGGCTAAGCAACAGTTTAAAAAGATCAAAACAGGAATATGTCTTCAATAACAAAACTATGATGTGGTTTCAAATACGTGCTATATTTTTCTTAGCCTAAGTCGCAGATGTAATTTAACCTCGGTTAGCCTGTTCCAGGCTCCCGGATAGTCGGGTCCGCTGAATTGAGAAAGAGCGAACACCGAACACGAAAATAAAACAGGAGGAAACTTTTCTCGTGCCTTTCACTTTCGCGTCTTCCCCACTATCTGAGAGCTTGGAACAGGCTAAACCTTGGTTACTTTAGAGTTTAAGCTTCACATACGAAAAACGGCAAACATCAGATTCAAGTTGAGAATTTCTCAAAACTACAAAATTAGCAGATAAAAACAGTTCAAAACAATTCTTATGGATAAAAAAATTGCACGAAACTTTTAATTAAACTAGTGTAGAAATAATGATCAGTAAACGACAAGTTAAAAGGAAACTTGGTTACGTGCTACAATTTGACGTAAACCCAGCCTGCGTAGCAAACGTTTTCGTGCGGTTTCGGACCAAAGAACGAGGAACGACATTCAAAGACCGCGCGAAAAATGGCGCAAGTACAAGAGCGGGGAAGAAACCGAGAATCCCGCGCGGCCAAAACCGAAAATTCCCTTCCTCGGTCTTTCTTTGCTATGAAATCGAAAGGAAACGCTTGCTACGCAGGCTAACGTAAACCAGACTAGCGCCACATGTGTCCCAAGCTTACTCTACAAATGTGGAATGTAAATGAGAGTCGGTGTTGCGGTACAAGCCACCGTGTAGACATTGTAAGAGAAATAAAATACTGAGGTCTGCAAACGCTAAATATCATTATATGTTACTTATGTCTATGAAATAAATAAAGGGGTCATTCCTTTGATGTATTCTCTTTTCTTTGGTGTGAATTCATCGATTTAGTCGTTTTTTTGCTGTTAATGTCCGGGGGGGTGATACTGCCATATATGAGCTCATTCGATGGGCTCCTGAATCCTAATGGGCTATATAGGTATGTGCCTCTTTCAAGGGTATGGTTTTCAAGCAGTTTCCTCTGGGATAGGATATATAAATCAGAGAGTTTGGGTCTAGAATCGGGTATCATTTTCCAGGAAACTGATCAATTGGTTGAAGATATTAGTCTAGACTTGGGAAAACAGGAAATTGCTACTCAAAAATATAAAAAATCAAATCGGCAAGTTTACAGTTAGTCAAGTTAAGCAATTCCGCCTAAAAGCTACTATAGGATAGGCGGGACTTTGGGAGTTTAGTCTAGTATAGGGAAGCAAAATTCACTTGACAGGGGCACCCAATGAACCTGTTCCTCAAAATATTTGTTCTTCAGGCCAATTTTTGCTGCCTGGGAGATTTGGAAAAAATTATTTATCCTTGAAAGAAATGTTGCTGGGAAAGAGACGATTAAGGGTGTCTGAGGGGATTCGATGTCTCGAATAGCTGCTATGTGCTTTTTGGTGCTATTTGTCACAAAGCTTGCCCCCCCTCCCACTCAAGGGGTTAATGTGCGCCCTATGACCACACCCAATTTGGCCACTAATGTCAGTCTGGACATACGTCTGCTGGGAAACTTCCCAGTAAGTCAGATTGCAGGTTGTAGGTGCATCTTGGTGGTTGGGAACTCTTCCATCAGTCTTGCTAGGAGGGTGGAAGAGATAAATTTATCTCCCAAAATGCTTAAAATGGCTTCAGAAAGCTTTATTCATGCTTTGTTGTTGTTTTTAGGTCTTTTCCTCAAAATTTCCCGTTGGGTGCCCTTGACTTGAATTAGCTTTGGTGTAGGCTAGGGGTTCCAGGGTCCCAGCGGCTCATCCCCACCCCGAAATTCCTATAGTATCCCCCCCGGTGTTTCCCGGTGTTATTGTGTGACCATTGTCACTCCCTTCTTGTGATACGGAAATGACTTTTCATTCTCATGCCTTTTTCCTCCGCACAGGTTTCTTTAGGGACCTTAAGATCCGGGGACGGTGAAGACAGTGAAAACGTCGATGGAAAAGTGAATTCGCGTTCTTTCAATTTCCATCGCGATTACTCTAAGTCACTAACTTTGTCAAATGTAGGCAACCCCTCCTAAAGTTGAATTCCTAAGAACCATATCCAAGTTCAGAAAGAGAGAGGAAATCTCGTCGTCGTTGCTTGGGTACTTCCTTTGTACATCGTGAAATTAAGTATTTTCACGTCGTAGTCGTGCAGCGACGGCAAAGAAATGTACAAAAAAGCGTGATGCACGTGCAAAATTGTTGTTTTGCTAATTGAACCTTTTGCTTTTGTGGCGTTCCCGTAGCCGTCGCCGTCGTCGGATCTTGAGGTCCCTTTTGTGTTGTTAGGAGGCCGGGGAGAAAGAAAAAGAGAGCGCGCGGGGAACGATGGGAAGGGGGAAGAGAGAAGAGATGCCTTTTCCCGCCTTTTCCCTCTTCCCATCGTCCCCTGCGTGCTTTCTATTTCTTAGATTATTGCTATTTTTACTGGGATAGGGTATATAAATCAGAGAGTTGGGGTCTAGAATCGGGTATCATTTTCCAGGAGACTGATCAATTGGTTGAAGATATTAGTCTAGACTCGGGAAACCGGGAATTGCTACTCAAAAATATAAAAAATCAAATCGGCAAGTTTACAGTTAGTCAAGTTACGCAACTCCGCCTAAAAGCTACTATAGGATAGGGCGGATTTTGGGAGTTTAGTCTAGTATAGGGAAGCAAAATTCACTTGACAGGGGCACCCAATGAACCTGTTCCTCAAAATATTTGTTCTTCAGGCCAATTTTTGCTGGCTGGGAGATTTGGAAAAAATTATTTATCCTTGAAAGAAATGTTGCTGGGAAAGAGACGATTAAGGGTGTCTGAGGGGATTCGATGTCTCGAATAGCTACTATGTGCTTTTTGGTGCTATTTGTCAGAAAGCTTCCCCCCCCTCCCACTCAAGGGGTTAATGTGCGCCCTATGACCACACCCAGTTTGGCCACTAATGTCAGTCTTGACATACTTCTGCTGGGAAACTTCCAAGTAAGTCAGATTGCAGGTTGTAGGTGCATCTTGCTGGTTGGGAACTCTTCCATCAGTCTTGCTAGGAGGGTGGAACAGATGAATTTATCCCCCAAAATGCTTAAAATGGCTTCAGAGAGCTTTATTCATGCTTTGTTGTTGTTTTTAGGTCTTTTCTTTAAAATTTCCCGTTGGGTGCCCTTGACTTGAATTAGCTTTGGTGTAGGCTAGGGGTTCCAGGGTCCCAGCGGCTCATCCCCACCCCAAAATTCCTAAAGTATCCCCCCCGGTGTTCCCCGGTGTTATTGTGTGACCATTGTCACTCCCTTCCTGTGATATGGAAATGACTTTTCATTCTCATGCCTTTTTCCTCCGCAGAGGTTTCTTTAGGGACCTTAAGATCCGGGGACGGTGAAGGCAGTGAAAACGTCGCTGAAAAAGTAAATTCGCCTTCTTTCAATCTTCATCGCGATTACTCTAAGTCACTAACTTTGTCAAATGTAGGCAACCCCTCCTAAAGTTGAATTCCCAAGAACGGTATCCAAGTTCAGAAAGAGAGAGGAAATCTCGTCGTTGCTTGGGTACTTCCTTTGTACATCGTGAATTTAAGTATTTTCACGTCGTAGTCGTGCAGTGACGGCAAAGAAATGTACAAAAAAGCGTGATGCACGTGGAAAATTGTTGTTTTGCTAATTGAACCTTTTGCTTTTGTGGCGTTCCCGTAGCCGTCGCCGTCGTCGGATCTTAAAGGTCCCTTTGGTGTTGTTAGGAGGCTGGGGAGAAAGAAAAAGAGAGCGCGCGGGGAACGATGGGAAGGGGGAAGAGAGAAGAGATGCCTTTTCCCGCCTTTTCCCTCTTCCCATCGTCCCCTGCGTGCTTTCTATTTCTTAGATTATTGCTATTTTTATAGGGATATCCAGCGGGAACCTCTGCGGAGGAGAGAGTTGAAACGGTGACAGAGTTCTCATGCAAATAGAACTTATGTTGTGCACTTAAATTGGCCTCATTTTGAAAGCGAGGGTTTTTGGAACTCGGAAGTGGCAGGAAGTTGCCTGATGGGTCTCGTGAGCCCACGTTTCTTGCCGCTAACCAGTGACGTAGCTTTGGTGTCTCGTTAATTAGCGTCGGCGACTGATGGCGGAAGGTGGGTCTGTTTTGTTGCCCTTCTTTTTTTTCTTCTTCTTCTTCATTTGCTCTGATGCTTTCGTTCTTGTCACTTAGAAAGCTTTGTCGCCGTGTGAGTCAATTAGAAAACGTGTTTTCGTATTGCTTCTTTAGCATTTTGTGTGTTCTTAACGGACGCCAAACGCGGACAACTTCGCGGGATCGAAGCTCCTCTGTCGCGGTACTCCTCTGTCGACGGGAGTAGAATAGGCTTATAAATCTTTAGCTTACGTCTGTCTCACATTTAGCAGCATTTCATGTGCTACTGTACTGTATATTAACTGATACTTAGAAAGTTTTATCCGTATAACCCACGTGTTGGTCTAGCTTTTCCGTTGAATCAAAGTTTATCGAGTTAATGAATTTCAAAACCCGTGTGATCAATTTCTTTTTTAGCTCAATTAGATTTCCGACCATTATTTGAAAATCATTCAAAGCTGCTGCTGCTGTTTCTCTTAATCGTCTATGAGTAGTCAACGAGAATGTTTTGCTATGTTTTCTTTCTTTCAGAGGTCAATGCCTAAACGCGGAGGGGTGATACTTGTCAAGCATGCTCGAGCAGTGCTGTGCATGCAGATATCTACAAGAGCACCGGTTAGTCACATTTGGAGAATTCTAGAAGCTACACAAGCGACTTTTCCGTAAAGTCATCTCCTTCGTAATTAAACTTCTATGTGGTTTGTGACGGTAGTGCTTAAGCGTCGGTAAAACTATCCATTGAGCTTTTTCATGAGTATTTAAGAACTCGCACAGTGCTCCTTTCATAATTTATATTATTTGCCTGTTAATTGGGCAAATGTTGTTCTTTTTAGTTGGTGGAATTGAATGCAGAATGAAGTCTTCCCCTAAGAAAAGAAAAAAACTGGTAAAAGTACACAGCAGCATCCAACATCACTAAGGTAAGAAACCCTTATTTTTATCAATTATTGTATGAAAGACTTCTTTTTTGTTAATGGCGGGTGGCCTCCCAACGATTTATTGTTGTTGTCCTAGGTCACACTTTAACATTTATGTGTATCGTTTGTTATCCTCCCTTGTAGAATTAGAGACTATGTAGCCTGTATCAGGCTTTCAGATGGTATATTAGGGAAGTGAATAAAAAGGAATTCGAATAAAAGAAGCAACACCTTTTACTAAACAACTAAACGACTGCACTAATTTGTTGGAGCCTGGAAGAGGCTAGACACTATATAGAGTCTGTGCAAATGCTATGTCACAAAGCTGTGTAAAACCTATATGAATGAGTTATTCATTGCTTTTACCAGATCCTATGCTTTTTCCATGCCAGGACTATTCTTTTGCATCAGAAATGCTATGTTTTTGGTAGTTAAATGGAACTTTATAAAAGCTATGCAGATTTTAAACGTGGAGTAGATGGAGAAATGACATAGTTACCACATAGCCTAGACATATTATTTACTTAGCTTTTTGAAAAAGATTTCAGACCTCATAGTAAACTCTTATAGTCATGAAATAACATTCAAATAGGAAAATCATAGAAAATAAATAGCCTTTATATACGACTGAAATAGAGTTTACATGTATGTAGTTCATTTGCAAAATGGAATGGGGAACAGTTGACTAATATAAGGGTGCATTTCTTTACTACAACCAAATTAGGATTTTTAGTCTGAAAATGGATATTTTGTTGCTTTACTAAAATCAAAAAATGGATTGTTGATCCTAATGATCCACAATAGAGATGGCTTGTTTGGATCATCTCTGAAACTGGGTACTTTGGATACATGATCTGAAGCGTTTCTTTACTAATCATCTGAAATAGTGTAAACAGCCAGGGGTAACTCGAAACAATTTAAATACATAGAGCAGCTGTTTGAGAACACTGCTCATCTTTTAAGGAAATTTTTGAACTCAAGGCATGGATTAAATGATCGATTTTATCCGTTTCATCAGGTTAGTAACATCGCAATACAAACAGGACCTGTATTGTTCTAGTTCACAAGGACTAAACAGGGCTCGAAATTGCGACTGATACAGTCCCCAATTTCTACCGAAATTCACAGCTCTGTGACGGCGCAAAATATCAGAAGCCCTGACTATGAGCTGTGTCATTTACATTATACAAACTGGCGACTGAAAATTTGCATCTGGCGACTATATTTCTCCAGTTGCTCGCTAAAAGGTGACTTGGGGATTTTTTTAATTTTGAGCCCTGACTAAAGGTTTCTGTATCCTTGAATCACTTTCTAGGAGATAAATAAACCGTCTGGTTTGTCCATAAGATAGCACCATCCTTGAGCCCTATTTACACTACAGAAAAAAAAATGGGTCCCGACACTTAAAAAAGTTGGTATGGACTGGATATTTTTACCGTGTAAACCTTCTGGACTTGCTTTTTTCTGTTTTTTTTTTGTCAACTATCCTTGTTAAAACCTTTTTTTGGTTTAGGCTGGTTAAGCTGACGTTGATTTTGTCACTTATTGTAAAAACTTGTCCTGAACTAGTCTTTGAAAGACAAACAGTCCTGTCCATTTTTCTTTTTACAGAAACAACCAAACATTGGCCACTCTGTCATATCATCATCCTTGTCTTACCACAGCCATCTTGATGATGAAGGAGGCTGAAAACAAATAGGTAAGTGGTGATGCTTGTCAAGGTCGGTTCTGGCAGATTGTGCAGAAGGTGGGAACGAGGGGGTGACAGATGACTTGTTACTCATAATAATAATAATATTTTTTTTGTTTCCTTACTTTTAAATGGCAAATATTCAACATTAACACATTGTGAATGCTATTTAATTTTCCTCTTTTGTAGTGATTTTTTTAGTGTTTATCTTTTTTTTCTTGTATTAATAATAATAATAATAATAATGATAATAAGTAGTAGTAGAATAAGAATAAGAATTATAATAGACATTATTTATACAGAGCTGTTTCCAAAAGCTCAAGGTACGACCACCTCGCGTGGACTACCACCTCCTATAAGTGGCCACCTTCCCAAAACACTAAAAATGTTCTCATTCAAAGCCTTATACTGGAACTTCTCACAAACGACCACATCCCGTAAATGACTGCAACCACTATTTCAGCTGACAGTTTTAGAATTTTCTATCGTTTACAATCTCCGGTAAGCGACCGCTTGACGGATGGTCTTACAAATCATTGAAGTTCATCGAAAAACTGGACAAAAAGGAATTTATTCTATCTATTACAGTGTTTATTAGTTCGATCTATAACTACAATATTAACCATTACCCTTGAGAAAAAGACTCAGATTTCTAGGTTTCAGTTTAGTTAGGTTTTTGTCATGAGATGTTTTAGGGACATTTCAGTACCAGAAGTCACGTACACAAGCAACATTTTTTAACCAATAATTTAGAACATGCATTATTTAATTAAGTGCACTTCCGTTAAAGGAACAGTATCCCGTTACTGCACATGTACCAAACTTTGATTTTTGGGCAGGATGTCGCGAAATCAAAAGATGTGAGGAGAGTAAGAGAACCTTGAAAAATCTTTTTGCATCATGCTTGGCCGAGTTCAATACCACACTAAACCTTCTTAGTATTACAGATCAATGATATATTGTTCCTGTTAAGTTTGGATTTCGGTGAAATCGGGATTTTTTGGCGTTACTTTTATTGCCGTTGGCCGGAAGACCAAAAGATGGGAAGTGCTTTGATGCTGATTGGGTGGTTGCTTACAAGAGGTTTGACTGTAGCGCTTTACAGAGTTCATAAGAAAGAAAAATAACAAATTAAAACTTACATCGAATGATAATAAAAGAGTAGCTGATGAATACTTGACACACGTCCGCAGGATCTGCTGAGGCTCACCAACAGTTTTTATTATCTTTGACATATGCAGTTCTCGTCTGAATTCATTTGAATGTATAAACGAAAACACCAGGATTTTCATGAATAGCCAAATTGGTTAACATGAGTAAACTTGGTTTCACCAAAGAGAAGAAGGGGTTTGTTTGAAGTATTTAGTCAATATAATTGACTATTTTCCAATTCCCCATGATACACTCTGTCTGCCCCCCAAATTTTGCATAACTTATTGTCTTAAAATGCTCTTGGGAAAATGCAATACTCCCAGGAGCATTTAAAAACAATGGTTTATGCAAAATTTAGGGGGCAAACAGGGTGTATTATGGGGAATTGGAAAATAGAGAATACTTATGAACCAGACTTTTATGAGATTCATAGGAAGCATTGCATAAACTCATTCTTGTCACTTGAAAATAGGCATATTTTAAGCACATTTTATTTTTATTGAATATTTCTAAAACTATTTACAGGAGAATTGAAGGCTACACATCATTGTAATCAGCACTGATTAGGCTTAACAGAAGAAAAATGTTTGTCTCCAAGGGAGCTCATANAATAACAAATTAAAACTTACATCGAATGATAATAAAAGAGTAGCTGATGAATACTTGACACACGTCCGCAGGATCTGCTGAGGCTCACCAACAGTTTTTATTATCTTTGACATATGCAGTTCTCGTCTGAATTCATTTGAATGTATAAACGAAAACACCAGGATTTTCATGAATAGCCAAATTGGTTAACATGAGTAAACTTGGTTTCACCAAAGAGAAGAAGGGGTTTGTTTGAAGTATTTAGTCAATATAATTGACTATTTTCCAATTCCCCATGATACACTCTGTCTGCCCCCCAAATTTTGCATAACTTATTGTCTTAAAATGCTCTTGGGAAAATGCAATACTCCCAGGAGCATTTAAAAACAATGGTTTATGCAAAATTTAGGGGGCAAACAGGGTGTATTATGGGGAATTGGAAAATAGAGAATACTTATGAACCAGACTTTTATGAGATTCATAGGAAGCATTGCATAAACTCATTCTTGTCACTTGAAAATAGGCATATTTTAAGCACATTTTATTTTTATTGAATATTTCTAAAACTATTTACAGGAGAATTGAAGGCTACACATCATTGTAATCAGCACTGATTAGGCTTAACAGAAGAAAAATGTTTGTCTCCAAGGGAGCTCATAATATTCCAGAAAAAAATTACAATTGTCATAAAATTAGCATAATTTATGCCAAAAATTTTACCAAATACAAAAAAATATGACCCAGACTTCTGAGTATAGAGAAAAGTTAAAAAAGAAAATTTCCCTTGGTATATTGACTGCAAATCCTCCAAATCTGGTGAAAAAAGAACACAAACACAATTAATTACAAATTTTTAATTATAACCATTTCATCACATAAAAATCAATAATTTTTTTTTTACTTTTGTCTTGGGTGTGTGTTTCTACATGGGAGTGGACAAGAGAGGGTGGTAAAAAGAAAATCAAGCCCTCCTGAGCCTCTAAAATTGATTTTTGGCCAAAATATCAATGTTCCATCTTTCACCCATAACATGAACTAAATCAGTAGAAACAAATGCAAATAGTTGAAATTTTTCTTAGAATTTTTTGTAACATAATGGTCAATGATCATAACCCACAGAATGAAACAACTGGAAACAATTTTTTTCACTTGTTAGGTGCATGTGGGGGTTACACTGTGGGGTACTGCAATAGGTTCTAACTTTATAAACTGTTTTTTACCTTTTCCAAAACACCACACACATTTTCCTTTCTTCACCGACAATGGGAATATGTTCTGTCACAAAACGCCCATGGTCAGGTGGATGAGGAACTGGCTTTGTGGTGGCATGGACTGGAGGATGGTCAAACTCAGGAAAATCACAGAGCTGCCTTACTATTTCCTCCCTATAATTAATGAGAGAGTAATCAGCAGTACGCTCTAAAGCCGGCTGCTCATGTGAAAATTTTGCCTGGTATTCCTTGAACAAAATAAAACTATTTACCACTGCCATATCAATAAGATGAAAAAATAAATTTTTCCACCACCTTACACACTTTCTTAGTACATTCTGTGTGCCTAAGATCTGGTCAGACCGGTCAACTGCATTCATAAACTTATTCTAGTTACCGATAGCCCCAGGCTGTGGAACCTGAATGGCGGTCCACCCACCCTCTGCAGTCTTTACTTTCCGGGTGACACGATTCTTGACATTCGCATTGTCAATAGTGGTTAGTACTGAAACTACCTTATTATCTATCCACTGTAATGCTAGGCAGGGGGAGTCCCTTTCCCATCGCATACTGCCCCTATCCTTTCCCTTAGCCCATTGTTTGCTATTCCTGAGATACCGGAAAATCCCTCCTGCTTTCTATAATAGTTCCTGTGGCTGCGACACCACGAGCAAACAAGTCTTTGAAAAGGGTAACGGAAGTATAAAAGTTATCAATATACAAATGATAACCTTGATCCAAAAATTTGTTCATTAGTTTCATGACAACATCATAACCAAGCCCATTTGCACTGACATTCCTCCCTGCAGCTCTACCAATGTAGACATCAAAATCAATGGTATAACCATTAGAGCTGTCTGCCAGCATCCAGAGTTTGATTCCCCATTTGGTGGGCTTGTCTTTAATATACTGTCTAATTCCTGACCTATGCCTAGACTTAACCATCCTTTCGTCAATTGCCACATTTTGCCTGGGCTGATACAATTCGATGCATTTCTTTTTGAAAGAATTTATGAAAGAGGCAACCTTGCGTAATTTATCACCAGGGGTTTCTGTTGCAGGGTCTACTACATGTAACATGGCCATAAGGGCTCTATACCTATTTCTTCCCATAATGGCCCTAGCCCACAAACCATGGTAGAGTGTCTTGGTACTCCAGTACCTGTCTACACTACCCCCAACTTTGACGAGACCAAAATATAACAGAAGGGCAATCAACCTTTCAATCTCTTCAGAGGTGACCTCAAGCCAGCTTCCATCTGGCTGGGTATATGAACGGTGGGATTCTTCCATTATATGTTCATAGGCATAACTATTTGTGTACTTAACAATATCAGAAACTATAGAAGTAGTAAAAAATAAATGAAAAAACTCAAAAGCCCTGGTAATGGTGTTCCTCGTCACAGGTCGACCAATGTAAACTCCAGGAGGACGGTTTGGCTCGAACTCCGGCAATTGATTTCCTTGATCCAGGTCATCAAAGGACTGGAAGTCGTCATTAGCTGGCGCTGCCACTCCACGGCTGCGACCACTTCCACGTGCCCTTCCACCCTTGCCCCCTGCTCTCGCCCGACCTCTCACACCACGACCACGCAAAGCAACAACAGGGGCACGGGGACCTATAGCCAAAACACAAATGGACGGTTTGATATTTAGATGGCAAACACTGTAAAATGCCTGTTATATTGACAACCCCAACATAATAAGTCTCAGATGTATCATATTAAACATTATTCTAACCTGGACAAACATGAGGACGAGGTCTAGCAGCAGTACCATAGAAGTCTGCAGTGGTAAAAGGACCTATTGAACACAAAAATAAAAATTATTATAATATAATATAATAGTTATATATACACTGATGAGAAAAGATTTCTTCAAAGATGAGAAGTAAAATAATTCTTACCTGGATCAGCTTGACTGGGGTCAGGAACAGGAACTACAGAAGGAGGGGGGACTGTACAGAACAAAAATAACAATATAACTATTATAATCTAAAATATGACAGTGTATGATGTAATAGACAGCAAAA